AGTAAGCCCAATGTTATGATTTAGAAGATGTCAATGTACTATAATGAGAATACAACGTCCCTATTGCCATGAAAGCACAAGGTTATATAGGAGTGGACGTAATAGGGCGATAACCTCGGGACGTGGATAGGTTTGGCAAATGTGGCGACGCTGTCGGGCGCGATTCGAGAAAGGGTTGGGCCGAAAATGTAGGCCAAACGTGATGAGTCGAAGTGTTCGGGTGTACGCGGTAGCGGGCGACTCAGTAAGGAATGGAAATTCCTTACACTACCCCCCCCTCCTAAACGAGGCTGTGGGCATCGGAGACATTCCGACGCTGGTAATATGCCGTTAGAATCGGATGTGATTCTAAATCAGCGAGGGGCACCCAACTGTCGTCTTCGGACGTGCGATCGCGCCAGCGGATGAGGAAATCAACCATCCGACGGTTCAGATGCGTGGTGATGCGATGGCCGAGAATTTTCAACGGCTCGGTTGTCGGTTCCTGCAAAGGCGTCAGTTGTGGTACACCACGGTTGCGTGCCAAGTCCGACGAACTCGGGACGTAGGGTCGGAGAAGACTGGCGTGGAAAGCCGGGTGATGGCGCCAATCAGCCGGTAGCCGAAGGTGGACAGTGACAGGTGTCACGAGGTTGGTCACTTGAAAAGGTCCGCAGAATCTGGGTCGGAGTTTGCTTGGGATCGGCAGCCGCAAATTGCGAGTGTCGAGAAGGACAAGATCTCCCACTTTGTAAGTGACGTCGCGTCGATGTCGATCGGCTTGTCGGCTGGCGACCAGGTTAGCTTTCCGACAGATTGTCGGCAGATAACCCAGCCATATTGGGGATAAAGCGGCGAACGTAGTTGATAAAACCCAGAAAACTTTGGAGTTCCTTGAGGTTGGTCGGCGGCTTCCATTCCTGTATGGTCTTGATTTTCCTGGGGTCGATTTTCACGCCTTCGGTAGAGACGACGTGACCCAAAAACTCCAACTCCTGCTTAAGAAAGTCGCACTTAGACCCTTTCGTGATGAGGCGATTCTTGTGCAGCAGCGTGAAGACTGCATCAAGGTCCTTTAAGTGCTGCTCCCTGCTGCGGCTGTAGATGAGGATGTCGTCGAGGTAGATAATTACGCATTTATCCAGGAGTTCGCGGAAAACACCGTTCATGGTCATCTGGAAGGTCGAGGGCACGTTCGTGAGTCCAAAGGGCATCACCAGGTATTCGTAACTACCGTAGCGGGTTCGGAAGGCGGTCTTGTGGCAATCCTCGGTGGCGACGCGAATTTGGTGGTAACCTCCTTGCAGATCGATTTTCGAGAAGAACTTGGCTCCGCGAAGTTGGTCGAGTAGGTCGTCGGCTCGCGGGATCAGGTAACGGGACTTGATGGTGATGCGGTTGAGTGCGCGGTAGTCGATGCACATACGGAATCCGCCATCTTTTTTCGGTGTGAACAGTATGGGGGCGGCGTATGGGGATGTGCTTGGGCGGATAAAACCTTTCGTCAGGGGGTAATCCAACTGCTGCTGCAATTCCTCTAGTTCCGGTTGGCTGAGCCGAAATTGTCGCTGTACTGTCGGTTGTGCGCCTGGTTCCAGCTCGATGCGATGGTCTTCGGGTCGACTTGGCGGAAGTCCGGCGGGTAGGTCGTCCGGGAAAATCTCGGGGTATTTTCGAATGAGTTCCGCTAAATTCAGAGGAACGGCTTCACACAGCTTCGTGATATCTTCCGCTGTTATCGGCGACGTCACTTCGCGAAGATCGACGGCGTATGCTGCTGCTCCCGCTTTTATCGCGCGCTTGAAGGTGATCGCGTGGACTTGGGTACTTCGCATGCGGGGTCCCGTCCATTTCGGTAACTCGTGATAGTGCCCATCGATCTTGATGCTGCAGCTGCCCGTCGTCCAGTCAATTCTCGGGTTGTACTGTCGCAGCCAATCCCGTCCCAGCAGCACGTCGCACCCGTCGAATGTAGTCGCCAGCAGCCCCATCCGAAATTTTACGTGCTCGCCGCAGTGGAAACTGACGTGCTCCACCCGCTCCCGTATAGCCAGCGGTGTACCATCCATCAGTCTTGCGTCGATTTCGGGTAGACACTTTAATAAAGGGATACCCATTTTCTTAGCCCTGTCTAGCTGTATGAGACTGTGACTCGTGCCTCCATCCACGAATATTTTCAGCAACACCCCGTTGACTTTACCCTCCACCAACACAGGGTGATCAGCAGTTTCGTCCCCCTTATTCGTCCGGGTCCGGTCGATTGCAGCAATCGGGATCACGACCCGGTGGGGACTGTGTGGTTCGGGCGAAGAAGCCTGCCCGTCAGTAAGGGGCCCGGTACTTACTGACGCGACCCATTTCCCGGTCGCTCCTCCGGCTTCTTCCCCATAGAATTCTGGGCGGCTATGAACTCTTGGCAGTTGCGTTTGATGTGACCCGGTCGGCCACAGTGGTAGCATAGCCCCGTATTTCGCGGAGTAACTGCGTAAATGTCCACTACGTCCATCCCTTTTATTGTGGTGCGCTGGTACTGTTCTCGAGGGCGACCTCCGTCGTAGAAGTTCGTCCTCGGCTTCGTGAGCGAATCAGCGGCTTCAGCGAGTTGGATGAAGTCTTGTAACCGCTTTGCAGGTCGTTGTAATTTTATCTGGTACTGTATTTCAGGCTTCAGCCCGCCCATGTACCTGTCGACCTTCTCCAACTCGTGCATGTAGCCACATCGATCCACCAACGTCAAGAATGACGCGGTGTAGTCGGACACAGATCCCAGCTGCTTCCACATGCGTAGAGTCTCGCGCGCTTTGTCTGAGTCAGGAGCATGCTCAAACCGCTTGCGAATCTCTGCGCACCACGTTGCCCACGTGCGAATGTGAGTTGCACCAAACAGCAAATCTGCCTCGTCTTCGTCGCCGAATTCTTCGGACCACTCATGCTGTCCTTCTGTGCGAGTTGCCGCTGAGTCGACGATGACCTTCCACCACTGTAGGGCGGCCCCTTGCAGCAGTGTCAACGCGTGGCTAATCCGCTTCTGGTCGTCTCGGATGCCCGCCGCGTTAAAGTAGATATTCATGGCGAATATCCACTGCCGCACCGTCACGCCTTTATTAGCTGGGTCGAAAGGAGCGGGTTGTTGATATCTTACGCCGCCACTTGTCGAGCGCGGGGCTGTCGCCGCTAGCCGTTCCAACTCCACTGGTGTCGGTTGCTGCTCACCCGCCTCGCTTCGTGCATCGTCGCCCGGCTCCTCTGAACACCTGTCCTGCGCCTGGCGAAGTCGTTGGTTTTCGTCACGGAGGTTGTTGACGACGCTTGTCAAATTATTCAACTGCTCCATTAATGCTTGCAGGTCTACTGTTTCCCGGGCAGAGTTCGCAGCAGTCGAGGTTGTCCGTTCCTCAACCGTCGAGTCTACCGGGGCCATGGCGGTCAGGACGGGGCAGAAACTAGCGCACACGCTGTAGTTGTTGACGTAAAAATATTTACGTTCAAAGGCAACTGCTGTGCAGCCGTGTTAATCCCCTATGACCACCCTTAACTAACTAACGGGTGAAAACGGAAGGTTCCGAGAAAGGTCGGGCTCTGATACCAGCTGTTATGATTTAGAAGATGTCAATGTACTATAATGAGAATACAACGTCCCTATTGCCATGAAAGCACAAGGTTATATAGGAGTGGACGTAATAGGGCGATAACCTCGGGACGTGGATAGGTTTGGCAAATGTGGCGACGCTGTCGGGCGCGATTCGAGAAAGGGTTGGGCCGAAAATGTAGGCCGAACGTGATGAGTCGAAGTGTTCGGGTGTACGCGGTAGCGGGCGGCTCAGTAAGGAATGGAAATTCCTTACACCCAACCTGCTGTGGTTACAAACGACTATTTCCGCATTCGTTGTTACAGTAGTTTCGCGCCCGAATTGTCCTTAGTTGAAATCTTTCTCCGCGCGTACAAGGTCTGGTGTATCATTCCCACAATTTTGACTCGTCAACAATGGATTGCCTACAGGCCTACTGCCTGTTCGGGAATCAGATGTTTCTCCTACGTGGCAGGAGGGCTGCTGTTCCGCGCAGGAAAAGATTTTGATGCACCCGTTTGTGGTCCCGAGTTTGATCCAGCTAGCGCAAGGTGTCATAAATACCTCCGGGATCCCGTGAATCTTTCAACTGGGCTCGGAGGCCACGCGGAGGCTAGGATATGCTCCGCCGAATCCTACGACGCAGGTGGGTTCACACTGTCCACTCACTTTGCTGGCTCACGCATTTCCTCCAGGGTTTACTTTTGGTTTTTAGTCGCTCTTAAAAACTTAGGTTCCTGGAAACATTATTTTTAATTATCAAGGTCCAGAAGAAAGCAATCCTTAATAATTAGGGATCGTTTGCATAGTACCCTTTTCCCCTGCCACGGTTACAATTTTTCAGGAGTTTTGTGGGCAAGTCGAAAAGGGTGTGAGTATTGTGTACGGGACTTCGAGGAAAAAATGACGAAAATCCACTTCGTGATTTGTCGCCCCTCTGCTTGTGACTACGAGGTGTGAGTAACGTGCTGTGGGGGGAGAAGAACGAAAATCTAAGGGAATTGTCTCCCCTCTGTGACTACGAGGTGTGTAGGCAGAACGAAAATCCTTATCCACCCTTAATTTGTGGCGCTAGCTAAAAAAAACTATTTATTTGACTCAAATTCAGGGCAACATTTCTTGAAAAATAGGCCCTGATTCCCTCTCCCGCGGAAATAAATACACCATGGGTGCAGCATCGCATTATGCCATAAGTAATGATAGCAGGAGCACGCCTGGACGATACTGTATGTTTCATTTCCAAGGACAACGTGTTTCCCGATGCCCGACGATTGCAACTACATCGCGTTTGCACAAAATGCAAAATGAACACCACATCTGTCGGTGGTTGACGAGGGAGAAAAGCTCGGTGGAGAGGCAAAGCAGCGAGTGCGAACGCTCTTTTAGCAGGAAGAGTGAAGGAGCCAATTGACACCCGCCGGGGCAAATGACACCAAGTGAAGCTAGTTCGCGAAATTTTACCTTTTCCCCCGCGAGCATTTTTCAGGGCTGACTTTCTGCTGTAATGTGAACCCCTGGTTTGTAGGCACCCGTTTACCACAGGACATCACCTCCCTCCCAAGCACCTCCCTCCAGAATTCCAGAGCGAAACCATCCCCCAAGTGTTGTTCACATCATAACCGGGCCTAGGGCATTGAGAAGGAATAAATCTGTGGTTTATTAGATCCATGTTGGCAACTATTTCTCCATGGTTTGTCTTTGCCTCTTCTTTCAACCGTAGTCCCTACCATTCTGCTGTGGCCCTTTCCTACTTTCAGACTAGCAGCGTAGAAGGGGTGATTCCGCGTCAGAGTGACTCCCGTCGTCACTTCACCCAAGTTCTCTCCGTTCTCCTTGCTTCTCAGGATGGAGTCTGGTATACCGTCGACCACTGTCCACCGTGCGCACAGCTACCGCGACGTGCGGGCGGCGGCGCAAGCGGGTTTTCCGCCAGCCTGGAGCGACTTCCTCGACTCTGAGTCGGATCCTGCCGATATGCACGTCGGGGCGCCGTGCCGACGAAGCGCTTCCGAGTCGAGAAAGTCCGCGGCAGCGGCGGCGGCGGCGGTTTCGGCGAGTGGAGCGGCGCTCGCTGTCGTTGACCCTTACGCTCGCGCGTCACGCGGGCATGCGTCGCAGGCTCCAGGGGCTGTAGGGTCCTTCGGGAGAGGGTTCGACGGTTCAAGTTCGCGAAGCTCGTCGCACAGCTCGTTCAACGACAAGTTCGCACGGTGCGACAGCAGCCTGACGAAACACACGTCCTGGTCGAGCGACGCACCTGCGATAGACCTGGTTGCGCGATCCGTTTCAAGCCCATCGGCGTCCGATGATTGCGGGGATTGCGGCGCATGCGACGCGTGTGTTTCAGCCGGCGTCGTAGGGCTAGGAGATGGACACTCGTTCTTGAGTCGACGCAAGAGCTTTGCCGCCCCCTCCTCGATTTGCCCCAACTGCCGAAGCAGCAGCGGCTGGCGCTGCGGCTGCGCCGATGCGGCTCTGGCGTGCGATCCGGGATGGGTGGATAACGCGCGGTGCCGAATCCGAGAAGCGGCGCTGGAGCTGGTCGAAGCGCAGCAGCGGTCCGCGGCGCACGACGAGGAGCTGACGTGGCTGGAAAAGACGCGCGCCACGCCGGCTCCCCCCTCGCGGCGCGCTTCGTTCGACGTGTCTCAGTATCGCTGGCCGGGAGGCTCGGCGAGGTTATCGGGGAAGCCCTGCCACGTGGAATCTGAGGAGAAGGTTGGGGAAGTGAGTAGCACGAGCTTTAGCTCCGTTACAAGCAAAACCACTGCGCGCAATAGCAGGTCCATTTGCTTATTCTCTTCGATGAAGGCGCCTATGGTGAAGAGCAGCAGGGTTTTTGCATGGCTGTACACTTCCTAAGCTCGTCCCGTTATAGAACGCAGGCCTCAATGTTGTATTCATTGTTTTAATTTCTAACCATGGCCATCAATGCCTTATTCATTGTGGATCTGCTGCTCGGGCAACAGTTACCTTATGATCATGCTTTGAAAAGCAAGAATTTACATTTGTAAGAACCTTCGTCACCATCACATCAACCAGGCCTAGGGATTTTGGACAAGTCCGGTATCCAGAGAGCTAGCAGCACAGAGGCAGTGGCAAACATGAGGCGGCGTGGGGCCCACTTCACCACTGATGGCACCCCTGCATGGTTCCCCCAGCTTGCCACCTGCAGTGGAGAGGAGAGGGGGAAATATCAGTCAAAAGCCGGGGGGAGAAGCTGTTTTTGCGGGGCAGCGCAAGCGGGAAGCATGCCATGGAAACACTTGAGGACACGGAAGAACAGAAGAGCGCATGTGCGTGTGTATGCATGCTCGTTTTGGCGAGAGGGAGGGAAGGAGAGAACGAGAGATGGTGGGGAGGTCGGGGCTTACCTGTGCGCCAGTGGCAGCACTCCAGGCCTTCACAGTGCCGTCACCAGAGCCTGGACCCACATGAGAGGCCATGGGGTGGAAGAGAGCAAGCGTAGATTTAAATTTGCTTGGGCAGCAGACCGGAATACAAGGGCAGGAAACAAGAGGTGTCACGTTCAAGCCAGCCAGCACTCGATTGTACCAACTACAATGTATTTGGAAATCTACCAGCTGTAAGGAATTTAGCGCTTGACTGTAACTGATGTAACGTATTTGGAAATCTACCACTTGTAACAAGTTTACTGTACCTGAAATGACGTATTTGGCATCGGGGCTGAAAGACGCTTCCAATGGGGCACCATCAATATCAGGTACAACTGTGAGAGTGTGTAGCTGGTGGTGGTGGGAGGGAGGGAGGGAGGGAGGGAGGGAGGGAGGGAGGGAGGGAGGGAGGGAGAGAGGGAGGGAGGGAGGGAGAGAAGGGAAGGGAAGGAGGGAGGGAGAGAGGGGAAGGGAAGGAGGGAGGGAGGGAGGGAGAGAGGGGAAGGGAAGGAGGGAGGGAGGGAGGGAGAGAGGGGAAGGGAAGGAGGGAGGGAGGGAGGGAGAGAGGGGAAGGGAAGGAGGGAGGGAGAGCACCATCAGGAAGGGGAGACGGGCGCAAGGGGAAGAGGAGATGGGCGAAGGTGAGTGGATGGAAGAATGGATGGACGCCTACCTTCGGCCCGTCAAATGTATCCAGCTGGTAGATCCGCCCATTGAGAGTGCAGAAAAATCCAAATCCCCTGTGGTACACCCCGAGCACATCTTGTGCCCTTGTAGTGTCACAATGCGCCTTCTGCCCTTCGAATGGATCCAGCAGGTCGATGCGGCCGCTGAGAGTGCAGACGACTCCAAATCCCCTGTGGTACTCCTGTGGTATAGCCCGAGCACACCTTGTGCCCTTGTAGTGTCACAATGCGCCTTCTGCCCTTCGAATGCATCCAGCAGGTCGACGCGGCCACTGAGTGTGCAGACAGTTCATTAGATATCGTGTGCTACGGACCAATCAAGCAGAATCACCTTGTGCAGCTAATGCCTACCTTTTGCCCATCGAATGCGTCCAGCAAGTAAATACGGCCCTTGAGCATGCAGACGACTGTTGAGACGACTCCAAGCGCCCCTCACTCCGTTCTACAACCCTTGGACATACCTTCTGCCCTTCGATGGCGTCCAGCAGGCAGATGCGGCCGTTGAGGGTGCGAGTGTTGGGTCAGTCAAAGTGCCCTCACACGCTCACCCTGTGCTACAGCCCTGTGCTATAGCACTCTGCTACGGCCCTGCGCTACGGCCCTGTGCTACAGCCCTGTGCTATGGCACTGTACTTTAGCGCTTGAACGCACCTTCTGCCCGTCGAAGGCGTCCAGCAGGTAGATGCGGCCGTTGAGCGTGCAGATGAGTGTTGGGCCCAGTCAAAGTACCCTCACACACTCACCCTGTGCTACATCCCTGTAATTAGCGCTTGAACGCACCTTCTGCCCTTCGAAGGCGTCCAGCAGGTAGATGCGGCCGTTGAGCGTGCAGACGAGGATCTGGTTGCCGTCGTTGCTGAACTTGATGGACGTCACCTCATCCTCGTCGCCGCCCACCAGCATGGTGTCAAAGGGGCCCTGCAGGGGGAGAAAGCATGGTAATGTGGGTAGGTGGGGAGGGGGGGAGCAGGGGAGGAGGGGAGGGGAAAGAGGGAGATCAAACAGTTGCCGTCGTTGCTGAACTCGATGGGCGCCGCCGCCACCTCGTCCTCGTCGCCGCCCACCAGCATGGTGTCAAACGGACCCTGCGGGGAGGCGAAGGTTGGGGAGAAGACCGGGGGGGAGCGAGGGGGGAGGGTAGGAACGGGGGAGACAGCGAGTGTAAAGAGCAGGATCTGGTTACCGCCATTACAGAACTTGGTTGACGTCACCTCGTTTTCGTCGCCGCCTACCAGCATGGTGTTAAACGGACCCTGCGAGGAGGGGATGGTTGACGGGGGGGGTGAGGGGGGAGAGAAGGGGATGGGGTGGGGGGGTGGGGGAGGGAGGAGAAAGAGAGTGTGCAGACGAGGCTCTGAAGGACTTGATGCTGCCGCTGATGCTGAACTTGATGGACGCCACCTCGTCCTCGTCGCCACCCACCAGCATGGTGTCCCTAAGGGGAAAACGCGGGACATTGGGGGGGGGGAGAGGAAAGGTGGATTTCAAGGGAGAGGTGGGGTGAGAGGCTATTGGCTGCCACAACTGTTGTCAGCTTAGACGAGGAAGCACAGAGCAGAGAGGTCAGCGCAGAGGAACAATGTCAAGAGGCCGCTCGACTATCTTATGAGTTAGAACCCGCACCTTCTCATAGGAGCGAGCATCAAACAGCTTCACCGCCCCTCCGCCCATGGCCACTGCAAAGACCAGCCCCTGCTGGTCGAACGCCACTGCTGGCCGCCCCCGCACGCGCATTAAGCCCTGAGATGGGTGGGAAATTTTGGATTTGTGGGGCGGTAAGAAAAGAAACGGTGGGGATCATGAGCCTCTGCTGGTCGAGCGCCACTGAGAGAGTGTTGTCTTGACTTGAGTGAGCCTACGGGGCGTTCTCTCACGAGCTTGGAAATGCTTTTGAGTCGACTAAAAAAGCGAGCGCCACTGAGAGAATGGTGTCCTACGGGGCGTCCTCTCACGAGCCTGGCAAAGGATTGACTTGAATGCGCTTTTCCAAGAGCAGAATTCCCCCTGCAAAACGAGCTTGCCACACCACAAACACCGCAACGCTGGCGGCGTTAGAAAGCTGATGCTCAGACCACAATGCTGACCTGGCACTCGCACGATGCTGACCTGGCACTCGCACGATGCTGACCTGGCACTCGCATGTTCTGAGGTCCCAGAGGCGAACGGTGTGGTCGAGAGCGCCTGAGAGGAAGGAGTCGTTCTTAGGCGACATGCAGAGAGAGACGACCCTGTGGGGGACGCGGAGGACAGGAGACAGAGAGACAGAGAGACAGAGAGACAGAGAGACAGGTATGCAATGAGAGGGATGGGGAGGTAAGGAAGACGTGTCCTGTCCAGCTGGCAGAAGGAATCATTCTTGGGGGACATGCAGAGAGAGACGACCCTGTGGGAGGGGAGGAGGCAACGAGACGCACGGGACAGATGGAAGAGGAAGACGTCGTTCTTGGGAGACATGCACAAGCAAACACAGAGATAATACACAGAGACATGCACAGAGACAAGGAAACACAGCGATAATATGTGAGTGTTGGATGGAGGATGTGAGAGATGTGAGAGAGATTTGCAGAGCATCGACCAGCAAGGATGGTGACCTTTCCTGCATTGACCAGGGCAAAGAGGGTTGCGGCCGGCGTTGGCGGTCAGACTCCATCAAAGCCCCCATTCTGGCGGTCCTAGTCCGTCAGAGCCCGTTCTGGCGGTCAGAGCCCCCATTCTGGCGGTCCTAGTCCGTCAGAGCCCGTTCTGGCGGTCAAAGCCCCATTCTGGCGGTCAGTGCCCCATTGTGGCGGTCAGAGCCCCATTCTGGCGGTCAGGACCCCATTCTGGCGGTCAGAGCCCCTTCTGGCGGTCAGAGCCCCATTCTGGCGGTCAGAGCAACATTTCTGGCGGTCAGAGCAGCATTCTGGCGGTCAGAGCCCCCATTCTGCCGGTCAGAGCAAAATTCTGGCAGTCAGAGCCCCATTCTGGCGGTCAGAGTCCCATTCTGGCGGTCAGAGCCCCAGTCTGGCGGTCAGAGCCCCATTCTGGCGGTCAGAACCCCATTCTGGCGGTCAGAGCCCCATTCTGCCGGTCAGAGCCCCCATTTTGGCGGTCAGAGCCCCCACTCTGGCGGTCAGAGCCCCATTCTGGCGGTCAGAGCCCCATTCTGGCGGTCAGAGCCCCAGTCTGGCGGTCAGAGCCCCATTCCGGCGGGCAGAGCCCCATTCTAAAAGTCAGAGCCCCATTCTGGCGGGTGGTATTAGCTGGCTATACTTTTCTGATACATCCAGATCTGGTGACTGCGGCACTCACTTGTCTCTGTGGCCTTTGGGATAGGGCAGATAGCGTTTGTGGTAGAGGGACTCAACGAAGGGTGGACCTGGTATAGGCCGGCTATACCCGACGATGCCTGTCTGACACGAATGCGGCACTCACTTGTCTCTGTGGCCTTTGAAGTAGCGTAGATAGCGGTTGTCGTAGAGAGAGAGATAGCGGAGCGACTCTGGGGAAGTGGGAGGGGGAATGAGGGAAAGGGTGGGGGGAGGAGAGAGAGGGGGAAGAGAAGAGGCATGACGAGGACTGAGGCTGCAAGAGCAGAGCACAGCAGAGGAGCAATAAATCGTTGAGTGCACTCGAAATCGAAGTTACCTCAGCGACCATACCCAGACCTACCATGCCCAGACCTACCATGCCCAGACCTACCATACCAGACCTACCATACCAGACCTACCATACAAGACCTACCATACCAGACCTACCATACCAGACCTTAGACCTACCATACCAGACCTACCATACCAGACCTACCATACTAGACCTACCATATCAGACCTACCATACCAGACCTACCATACCAGACCTATCATACCAGACCTACCATACCAGACCTACCATACCAGACCTACCATACCAGACCTACCATACCAGACCTACCATGCCAGACCTACCATGCCAGACCTACCATACCAGACCTACCATGCCAGACCTACCATGCCTGACCTACCATGCCAGACCTACCATGCCAGACCTACCATACCAGACCTACCATGCCAGACCTACCATGCCTGACCTACCATGCCAGACCTACCATGCCAGACCTACCATGCCAGACGTGCCACACCCATACTTACCAACCAGCCCCTGACGTACCACCCACGCCCACCTTCTAAAACGATCTGATCCACGCACACCATCCCAGAACACTGACTACACTACACCCACGCCCACCATCCCAGCCATTCTTGGAGGCGTGGAGCACAGCGGAGGGATGGTGGTGGGTGAAGACGACCTGATCCACTCAGCCATCCCCAAACTATAACTATACCCACAGCTACCATCCCGGCCGTTCTTGGAAGAGTAGAGTACAGCGGAGAGGTGGTGGGTAAGACAGCACCATAGCCACACATGAAATACACCATATCCTAGCACCAGCCATACCCACACCCACCATCCCAGCATTCCCCAGAGAGAGACCCACCATCCCAGCCGTTCTTGGAGGAGTAGAGCACAGCAGAGGGATGGTGCGTGAAGACGACCTGATCCACTCCGTACTTGCGGCTGTGAATCGTCTTCACCAAGCTGACGTGGCAGGGAGTAACCAGCCACACCGTGCAGGGTCATGCCGTCAGATGTTATGCCATGCCATGTCATGCCACGCGGTCAAAATATCAGACCATTCCACCCATATCCGCCAAGCCAAATGTCATTACAGACATGCACATCAAGGAAGGAACGGTTAGGGATAGAAGGATAGACTGAGGCCTGGCGGGTGTTCCGGGTCAGAGGACATTCAGGGCACTAACAAACGGTAAGAACCAGAACAATTTGTGGAATGTCTTTCTTGAAAGATTGTCTCCAAGATAAAAAGCTACGAGTATCAATTTACTCCATGCCGCGCCACGCTTACGAGGCGTTTGACGTGTCATAGACCCGGATGGACTCGTCATCGCTTGCCGTCACGAGCAGGTCCTCCGTCCGATGGAAATCCATCGAGTTGATCCGACCGTTCTGGTTGAACGAAAGGTCGAGGAGGGAAGGTTAAGTGGGAAGTTGAAGGAAGAAAATGAGCGGAAAATAAACGCAATAGGGGAAGAAAAGGCAGGATCTATGGATGGAAAGCGGAGAGGAGCCATAGTGTGGACGAATCCCGACGAGGACTCGATAAGGCCAGGCTACGAGAAAGTACACTATAAGCGACGAGAAGGGTGTGAGCGTACAAAGTCCTTGAACAAAGAAGGGGAGACGTTAGTTCTACGTTAGCGCTTGTGTTATCCGAATGGAGAGAATGGGCGAGCGTACATAGTCCTTGAACAACGACGGGGAGATGCTACTCTAAGGTGCATCATATGCGAAGAGAACGAGCGAGCGTACATAGTCCTTGAACAGCGCGCCGACGGCCATGCTGCTGACGACTCCATCCGACAGAGCTAGAGGCATCGCGACCCTCTATCGCTCTTCGTAAAACTGGTGCTAATCAGCACAAGGAACACGTTTTAATCCTGCACACGTTTAAGAAACGCAGAGCACGCGGTCCAGCAGCTCGGGCAGTCGCAGTCACGAGCGACGTTTAATCCGCGATCGTCAGTCGGGCGAGAGCTGCCAGCGAGACTACTAGGATTCAAGAACGGAAACTGGGATCAGCCAGAGAGCTAGGGGAAGATGAGGCTTGAAGTTGACGCGTTTCTCGAGAAAACCACTGAAGCAGTTGTTTTGTTGACATAAGTGAACCTCACTGATATCTTAGTGTATTTCAACGTTCAATCTATTATTTTCTTTCTAATGTGTTTTCCAGCACAGCATATTTAGAGAGGGTTCCCCCAACTCGTGTCACAATCGGCCACTTTGTGCTACTATCCCTCCACATATAAATTTGGCCATTTCTTAGCATTGATAGGCTGGGATTAAAATCCATGAACCCTGTAACCATCATAACCAAATGGTTTTAGCGTAACATACATGGTATTGTCGCTTTGGTAATCATAGCATGCTGTAAAAGAATGCAAACAGCCCAACCATTACCAGAAGCATCACCAACCGCCCTGAGCAGCCGTAAACACTAAGCTACATTGCAGCTATCTGACAGTGTAGAGCGCACGCCTAGCCACCTGAGGCCCCGCAGCTTCACAGAAGGTTTTGAGGGCTGCTGTGATGGACCGGGTGGAAGCAGAGGAGAGCCAACCGGTCTCCAACAGTTGCTGGTGGGAGCGGGTGGGAAAGGAGAATGGAAAGGGGGTGAATGGGGGTGATGTCACAAAGCCAGAGGAGAGCCCACCAGTCTCCAACTGCTGCTGGTGAATGCGGGTGGGGAAGGAAAGAACGGGGGGGGTGTGGTGTCTCAAAGTCGGAGGAGGGCCAACTGGTCTCCAGCAAATGCTGGTGGGAGGGGGTGGGGAAGGAAAGAGGAGGGGGGTGTTGATACATGACGTGTCAGAAGCCGGAGGAGAGCCAACTGGTCTCTAACCACTGCTGGTGGGAGGGGTGGGGAAGGTAAAAGGTGGGTGGGAGGGGGGGTGGTGTCGCAAAGCCGGAGGAGAGCCAACCAGCCTCCAACAATTGCTGGTGGGAAGGAAATGGGCGAGGGGGGGTAAAAGGTGGAGACAGGAGAATCTCACACGAGGTGAATGCAAGCAGAGAAGGTTGTCAGGGAGACTGAATCTGATAAGCAGAGACATTGCAGGTCTATTTTTGAGGCGCCTCAAAGATAAGCAGAGACATTGCAGGTACCCATGGGAAAGAAACATGGCATGGCATGGCACCCATGGCATTCAACCCTGACTCCCAGGCAGCGCTGCTGATCTGCTAGGAGCCATTGATAAGCAAGGCGCCATAACGATAGTGGCCGTATTGCTGTAATGACTTTCCTAAGTGCCAGAGAACGGCAACGGCATCGCCAAGCAAAGAGAGTGGCCGGGATAAGCGCCAAACTCCCTCACATGCACACTCAGAAACACATATCTCCACACTCACACTCAGAAACTGCTATCCCCACACTCACAAGAAAAACAAATATCCCCACACCCACACTCAGAAACAGCTATCCCCACACTCACAGCGAAGCTGATCATCAAGGACCCATTGATGAGCAGCAGCATGGCCAGCAGAGCACGAGTGGCCATATGGGAAAGAGACAAAACCCACACCCCGCCCCCACCCACACTCAGAAACAGCTATCCCCACACTCATATAGAAGCTGATCATCAATGATCCGTTGATGAGCAGCAGCATGGCCAGGACAGAGCGTGTGGCTGTATGGGACGGTATGGGAAGGCGACAAGACAAGCACCCTCCCCTGATCCCCACACTCACAGCGAAACTGATCATCATGGACCCATTGATGAGCAGCGGCATGGCCAGCACCGCTGATGCCACCTCCCTCCCCCTCTCCTCCCGCTCCCCCGCACTCAACTCCTCCCCCCATCTCTCCCCTTCCCTCCCCTTCTCAACCTCCATCCCCTCTTCCATTCCCTGCCGCCCTTCCCTGCCTTCCAGAGCCCTTCCCACCCGTCCCTGCACTCCATACTCGTTAGTAGGCCCTCTGCTACTCGCCTCGTCCAGCCCCTCTACTCCTCCACCCTCCCCTCTCTCAGCTGCAGCCTGCAGCTCCCGCTGCACTTCAATCTCCGCTTCTGTCTCTCCCACCCCCGCCCCTCTATAGCCCCCCACCACGTCCCTTGCTCCGTCCTCTCCTGGCCCCCCTGCACTCCTCCCTTCCACTCCCTCACTCGATGCTGCGTGAGCATTGGAGGAGGGTGGCTGATGGAGGGAGGCGGCTACTGTAGGAAAAAGGTTCTCTGGTGCATGAGGGTGTTGTGGGTGTTGAGGGTGTTTGGGCAGAGCAGAGGAGAGTACAGCGTAGGGGGAGTGGTCCAGGAGAGGGCGTGCAAGAGAGAAGGGAACCCACCTGATGTTTGGGGAAGAAGCAGGGGAATTTGGGGGCAAGGGGTGGGAACGTGGGGAAAGGTGAGAATAAGGCAAGGAGGGCGCGAGGTGGTAGGGGGCAGGGAAACGAGATTAGGGGTGGGGGAGGGACAGGAGATTGGAGGGAAGGCAAGGGCAAAAACAATCTCGTGTGATGGAGGGAGACAGGGATTGGAGGGAAGGCAAGGGCAAAAACAATCTCGTGTGATGGAGGGAGACAGGGATTGGAGGGAAGGCAAGGGCAAAAACAATTTGGTTTGGAGTAAGAACACAACAAATCGGACACAGAGAAAAACTGCCGCAGCAGTGAGAGAAAAACCAGAGTGAGAGATGTGAGGAACCCTCTTGCAAAACCAATCTTGCATATGGTGATTCAACTTCAAGTGGATACTACTGAATCACTCACAGGTAGCGCAGAGGACAGAGCAGATCCGACGGTGCATATGCTGCCTTATATGTCATTTTCGGACAAGAATGGATGTAATACCCCATGTAGTACGAATCCAGTAACAGCTCAGGCCGCCGCTGCTGCTCCCGCTGCACCCACTCGATCTCCTTAAGCGCAGAGAACTTCCCCAGAGACAGAAACGCAAAGTCGGGGTCCCAAAAGAGATACTTAGATGAGAGGCAGCGCGGCAGCACGTCCACCACGCCCACGGCCACTAAGCGCCCGTCTATGCGGTACTGCTGGTGGAAGGAGCCGTAGCCGCAGGAGGGCAGCGGTGCTTGTGCTTCAGGGGGAGGCGCAACTGGGGATGGGGCAGCTGGGGGAGGCGCAACTGGGGGAGGCGCAGGTGGAGGGACGTGTATGAGGGGAGTGTTGACGAGGAAATTCTCATAGGCTCGTCTGGTGACGGTGCTGGGTGCATCACCGTGCACATTGATCTGGTACTTGCGGTACAGGTCAAACTCCTCCTGGGTGAATGCAGAGCGGTGGGTTATTATCTCCAGCACTCGTGGCGTGCGCTGCTGCTGCTGCTGCTGCTGCTGCTGCTGCTGCTGCTGCTGCTGCTGCTGCTGCTGCTGCTGCTGCTGCTGCTGCTGCTGTGGTTGTTGTTGCTGCTGGTCCTGCTGGTGCTGCTGGTGATGTTGTTGCTGCACGCCTCTACTCCCACCACCAGGCAAACCAGCATTGCCTGTGGCTATGCGTCTGCCCGTGGACTCCTCGCCTCGCAGCAGAGCAGCAGGCGCCAGCACATTCACATGCCCGTTCACAGCCCTCACGCTCACTCCCTCAGGCAGCTCGCCACTCTGCAATCCCGCTTCAACCTCCTGCACCAACGCCACTGCTATATCCTGCGCACTGGAGCTTAGAAGCACTGCATGCTCTGGGTGCCGCCCGTCTGATAGCTGCGGGGTCATCTCCCCCTGATTCTGCGGCTTCTTCTGCTGCTGCTGTAGCTTCTTGTATCCAGAGAAGAGAAGAAACGCAACGTTTGACGTCAGCACTGGCAGAGGAGCAGCAGAAGCGCCTCTCTGTTCGCTCCCTCTTGCCCCTCTTGCCCCTCTTGCCCCTCCTGCGTCTCCTCCATCCCCCCGACCACTACTTTCCGCATCAATCTTTCCAGGCCTCCCCTCTACCACTCGCCATTCCTTCACTCCCTCCCCTCCCTTCACTCCCTCCCCTCCCTTCACTCCCTCCCCTCCCTTCACTCCCTCCCCTCCCTTCACTCCCTCCCCTCCCTTCACTCCCTCCCCTCCCTTCCCCTCCCCAAGTCTCGACCTGACGTTAGCTGGGACGGGTCGAAGAGTCACCGCAGGCAGCAGCATGCCTGAAGGAACCGCCCCGTTCTCCCGCCACTGCGCTAGCACTCGCTTCAAAGCCCCTTCCACCTGCGCATGCACTGCTGCCAGGGGTCCCGCCGTCGCTGGCTGCAGCCGTCCCTCACTGGAAGCTGCCCGGAGGCCGTCCTTCTGCCCTCGTGACTGCCCGTTCACTGGCTCTGCCCGCGGCTGCCCACTCGCACCCGAACCTGAACCCAAACCTAAAGCCAAACCTAAACCCAGACCTGAACCTGGATTCGAAGAAGGGTCGGGAAGGTTTGCAGAGCGGTCTCTGGGAGCAGGGAGGTCGATTTCCCCACTGAGAAACCTGCAGGCGGGAGGGAGGCGGTGGGGGTGAAGTGGAACAGAGGGGGGAAGGGGGAGAGAAAACGGGGGCGAAAGGGGGGCGAAAGGGGGGCGAAAGGGGGGCGAAAGGGGGGCGAAAGGGGGGCGAAAGGGGGGCGAAAGGGGGGCGAAACGGGGGCGAAAGGGGGGCGAAAGGGGGGCGAAAAGGAGGCAAATGTGACTAGACGCCTCTTGCCTACCATCAGTTTGAGCACTTTGACTTGCGCTGCTCTGGTGAGCTGCAGCAAATATGACCCGCAACTGGCCGTTTCTTACCTTCCCATAAGCCCCCAAGTCCTCCCAGGCCCGCCTCGCCTCGCCATTCGTCTCAGCACTTTCCGCTGCTCCTTGCTGGCCTGGAACCCCTAGAACCGAGGCTAAACCATCTCTTACCTATCGCAATCCCCATGCACACCCCACCTCTCCATGCGTTTGAGCACTTTGCGCTGCTCATTGTTGGACTGAAACCGCCGTGCCACAAGGCAGGTGGTGTAGGCGGGGAGGGGGACCCACCCAAGCCTACAAATCTCTCACGTGTCGTACTCTATACTCTCCAATTCCCATACCCACAGGCACTCTGTACTCTCTCCCCTTCCCATGCCCACCTCTCCATGCGTTTGAGCACTTTCCGCTGCTCCTTGTTGGGCTGCAACAGCCCCGCCACAAGGCCTATCGCATAGGCGGGGAAGCAGGCCCACCCAGTTTCACTACTGCATCATCCCGATGATCAGTAATCTCACCCCTTCTCTCACGCCCACCGCTCCATGTGTTTGAGCACTTTGCGCTGCTCCTTGTTTGGCTGAAACCGCCCCGCCACGAGACAAATTGTTTAGGCGGGCCAGCAGACCCACCCAAATTCATCACTCTCTTACCCCTACAGTCCATGGTTCCACCCCAACTCCCCCACCCACCTCTCCATGCGTTTGAGCACTTTGCGCTGCTCCTTGTTGGGCTGAAACCGCCTCGCCACGAGCCTGATGGTGTAGGCGGGGCAGCAGGTGCGGGGCATATCTGGCTTGTAGAGGAAGCAGCCCGAGCGACGCCAGCCACGATCTAAAAGGTCTGCGTGTGAACAGGGGAGACACAGTGGGAGGGAGGGGGGAGTGCAGTGGGGAGTGGTCAGAGGGTCGTAGGCGGGGCAACAAGTGCGGCGCGGCATGTTGGGCTTGTAGAGGAAACAACCAGATCGATGCCACCCACGATCTAAAAGGTCTGCGTGGATGAGAAGGGAGAGACGCATGGGGGGAGTGGGAAATGGAGCGGGGAGTGGGCAGAGGGTTGTTGGCGAGGCAGCACGTGCACGGCATGTCGGGCTTGTAGAGGAAACAACCAGATCGACGCCACCCACGATCTAAAAGGTCTGCGTGGATGAGAACGGAGAGACGTATGGGGGGAGTGGGAAATGGAGCGGGGAGTGGGCAGAGGGTTGTTGGCGAGGCAGCACGTGCGCGGCATGTCGGGCTTGTAGAGAAAGCAGCTGGAGCGATGCCACCCACGGTCCAACAGATCTGTGTGCGGACACAAGTGAGACAAAAGTGAATGCTATAAAAACTGCTTTAGGAATGCTTCTCAGCAATTTCAGATTACCATTGAAAGGAGATTTCTCTGAAGCAGGTGTTCAGGAGCCATAGGAGGAGAGGCGCGGTGACTGGCACACGGAAAGCTGCTACTGTAAGCAGCGTGGGAACTCCAGCTTCTATAAAATATGCACGGTGTTTTTTAGAATAATAAGAAACACCCTGCAAAATTAAGGGCGCCGTGGCTGTCACACGGAAAGCTGCTACTGTAAGCAGCGTGGGAACTCCAGCTTCTATGAATAGTCAACACAAGTATTCACCAAAGAGAGGCAAAGGAGCGCCGTACCTTGGTAGTGCCTTGAGGGCACCGTACTTTAATAGTCGCATGAGAGCTTCCTACCTTGGTAATCTTGCACTATCTTGCACTATCTTGCACTATCTTGCACTATCATGGTCTCCGCGGTGATTCCTGGGGCAGGCACATCAAGGCCGACCAGGAGGGGCGTGGAAAGCACCGCGGAGACCATCAAGGTAGAGTGCTTTCCCCAGGAATCACCGCGGCCTTGATCTTGCACATCAAGGCTGACCGGGAGGGGCGTGGAAAGCACTCTACCTTGATGGTAGCATGAGAGCACCGTACCTTGGTAATCTTGCACTGTCATGCTGTCCGCAGTGATTCCTGGGGAAAGCGGCCGATCAATGTCGACAGGGAGGGGCGTGGGGGATGGAAGGACAGCGGGACAACACGGAGGGAAGGAAACCAGCGCGCGTTGAAGCTTAAAAGGAAAACAAAAGGGGTGCTGTATGCGGTCAATGCTGAGCGGAGGTCGACGTGAGCGGGATCCTGAGTACTAATCACTTGAGCGACAGGGGGGAACACAGGTTTCCTGTTAGATTCGCGAGGGAGGGACATCGGCGAAAGACTACTGGAATGATCGCTCAGCGACGATTGAACGGAAAGCAGGTGATGTTGGACCAGATCCTGACCGTTGGAAAGGGAATGCTGGGAAGATCCTGACCGTGGGAGTGGCTCGACCCGCGCGCGCCTCGGCAGTAGCCGCAGGAGGAGGAGTAATCTCCATGATCCACCACTATAGTCCGCTCGATCTCCGCCTCGCGCTCCGCCGCTCCGGATTCGTGCACGCGCTGCTGCTTCGGCTGCTGCTGCTGCTGCTTGCGCCGTCGGCCCAGCATGCTCGCTACGGGAAAGGGACAGCAGAGTCGGGCAAAGAGAGCGAGAGGCGGAGGACAACGGAAAATAAACTGATCTCTCGAGAATGCTCTGGCGCAGATTTAGCACCTAGAAAACAAATGTCGTCTCGAAACTAGCTACATTCGCAAGCAAATCCCAAGGTTGCTGCTGGCAGAATCGTGGGAAGTGCCATGCAAAGCGAAGCCCCAATCCCAATGGCATTTGCTTGCAGGACAAGTCAAACCTGCTCTCAACTTGACTCGGACTGGAGCCTGGGAGGGACACCGACCCCGCTATGGAAATACCGCGTTCAGGTATTAGACTTTGCAACACCAGAGACAGCAAGACTCAACTGGTCAACCTGAAATAAATGTGGTAAAACGAGATGATTGAGATCTAGTCAAACTTCAGTAACAGATTCGTGGCATTCTGAAGGGTGGATCGTCAATGATAGACAAGGGGTTGAGATGAGGTCTATATGTGTGAACGATGGCTATATTTTGGAGCTAGTATATTTTATGAATCCTATGAACGGATTAAAGATTAGGGTTGCTAAAGAAATTGAATTAGGAAGGACATGGTACAACAAGTCCATGATACAGCACTACAATGGTTCACACAATATTTGAATTCTGCACCCCCAACGGTGAACCTCTAGTTAGTGTTATAATCCCTAATTGGGTCATCTGGTACCGGACCACCGCCATTGCTACGTGTGGTAACCACATTATTTCCTCCACTGCCTCCTGTGGTAGGTTCACCGGCCAAGCCCTCTTGACCGTGCACCCTGACCCCTCTCATGTCAGCACGATTCACATCACAAGCACCCCTTGCGACACCCCCATCGTCCACATCGCAACCACCATCCATAACCACACCTTCAGCAGCACTAGCAGCATCAGCACCATGCCTATGTTGATGCTGCTGCACTTGGTCCAAGATAGCTCTATCTACTGCACCCCCTCTGCTTACTGTATTTACTGTACCTCTTTGCATATTCCAGTTATCTTGCACCGCATGTGCGGCGCGGGAGCGCGGCTGGGGCATGGCGTCCCACTCGCCCACTCCGCTCAGCAGCCCTGCTACTGCCTGCAGCTCGCGCATCACCTCTGCCATTGCCACAGGCTGCTGCTGCTGCTGCTGCTGCCCTGGCGTTTGGACTGGTTGCTGTCGTGTCTGTTGAGGTGGATGGTGTTGCGGTGGCTGCTGCTGGTGCAGTGGTTGCAGCATTAGTCGTGCACGCTCGTCCTGCTGCTGCTGCTGCTGCTGCTCTTGACTGCCATGCATATCTTCCCTCGGATTGACCTCCCCACGCTCTTGCCTGCATTGCACCTGACCCTCTCCTTCTAGTCCTTCTCCCCTCCTCCCTGCTTCCCCAGATTCTCTCCCTTCCTCTCTCAAATCCGTCCCCATACACTCTTCCCCATCGTCACACGCAGTTGCTTCCCTCTCCCTCTCACCCATCCGCTCCTCTTTCTCCCCACGCTTCCCTCTCCCTGCTTTCCCCGACCTGCATTCATCTGCCACTTCCCCGAACCCTCTCCGCCCTGTCTCCGCTCTTTCTGCCTCCTCCCTCCCGGTTACCACCTCTCTCAGACAACCACTTCCACCTCTCACCCACGCTTCACTCCCCCCCCCACCCACTCCTCCTCCTCCACCCTCACCCACCATCACCTCTCTCACCCCTCCCCCCATCCCCTCACTCCTCCCCTCCGCAACACGCCTCCTCTTTCCCCCTCCTCCCTGCGCCCCCCCCTCCCGCCCCCTCTCTCCTCGCTCTCCCCTCCCCGCTCCATCTGCGCCCCCCCCGCTTCCCCTTCCCCTTCCATCCAGCCCCCCACCTCTTCCCCCTCCCCCCCCCCAGCACCGGTCCAGCGCCGCAGCTACAGCTGCCGCAACAGCCTGGCCGGCAGAGGACCCGGGGAAGAGCAGGAGATCCTGCAATAGCTGGGGGACACGTGGACTGATGGAGGGGCCCTCAACGACACGTGGGCTGATGGAGGGGCCCTCAGTGACACGTGGACTGATGGAGGGGCCCTCAGGGACACGTGGACTGATGGAGGGGCCCTCAGTGACACGTGGAGTGACGGAGGGGCCATGAGGGATGGGGAGTAGGGAGGAGGTCTCGCTAGGTGCTGGGCTTTGCTGTGCTGGCTGCTGTGCCAGCTTCTGCGCTGCTTCGTATGCTGGTCCCTCTGTTGCCTCTTCTGCTTCCTCCTCTGCTTCCTGTTCTGCTGCCCCCCCCGCAGCCTCCTCTGTTGCCGCCTCTGCTGCCTCCTCTTCTGGGTGCTCTGCTGTTTGGTCCGCTGACTCCCCCTCTGCCGCATCTACCCGTTGCTCTGCTAGAGGCGCCTGCTGTTGCTGGTGCTGGGGGAAGGAGCAAGGCCCAGAAGCAAGAGTGGCTGACTCAATAGGAGTGGCAGGCGCAGCAGGAGCAGGAGCAGGAGCAGGAGCAGGAGCAGGAGCAGGAGCAGGAGCAGGAGCAGTAGGAACAGCAGCGGAAGCAGCCGGAGCAAGAGACACTGCAGCAGGGGTGCGAGCATTGTTTGCCACATTGGATTCATCCATAGTGGTATCCACTGGGGCAGCAGGGGGCGGCATAGCAGCAGGAGGCAGGGGAGGAGGCATGAAGGCAGTGGGCGCAGCAGCCGCGAATCGGCTTGGCGGCGAGGGCAGCGGAGGAGGGGGGAAAGGCCGAGGAACGGATATGGCAGCAGGTCCAATGCGGGGGAGGGGGGACATGCCTGCTGCCAATGCAGGTCCAATGCGGGCCGTGACAGGAGAGGTGACCGCGTCCATGGTAACCGCTGGAGGAGAGGTGCCATCCACGAAGAGCCAGCTGTGTGCAGGATGGGAGGTTTCAGTGACAGGCATATCGGGCAGAGAGACCCCGGTCGGCTGCACGCCGTGCACGGGAGGAGAGACCCCACTCGGCTGCACAGGGGGAGATACCCCGCTCAAAAGCACACTGCTTGAATCCGGAGTAACGCCCCTTGCAGGCAAACTCCCTGCGGGAGAAGAGATTGCGTTCAGCAGCACGCTAGTCGCAGGCGGGGAGACTCCGCTCAGAAGCACGCTGTGTGCAGAGGGGGAGACTCCGGTCTGAGGAGGAGACACTGCACTCAGCACGGGAGGAGAGACCCCACTTAGAGCAGGAGGGGAGACCCGACTCGTCAGCACCCTCTGTGCAGGCAGGGAGATTGTGCTTCCGAGCGTGGCAGGAGCAGGGAGCAAACTGTTACCTGCAGGCGGAGAGACTCCGCTCAGCTGCACGCTGCTGCGCGCAGGCGGAGAGACTTCACTCGGTAAGCCAAGCGGGAGATGTTTGGTCTCCCCATCTGCTCCGTCCACACTATCAACCACGTTCGGCACACGCCGCATTCCGAAAATACCCTCTGGCGCGCCCCTCCCCCCAGCGTCCCCCCTCGAGCTGCCCCGGTCCTGCTCCCCCCACACGCATTCCGACACCTCGGGGGGAGATATCCCCCTCCACGCTACACGCCCGCCGCCCACGGACTCCCGTCCTGGTGTTACTGTGTTACCAGACTCTCCCGATATGCTTCTTGAGCCGGGTTCCTTGTAATGCTGCGAAAAGAAGCGTCCACTCTGGTTCGCCTTTTCTCTCTTCCACGAAGTAGGTTGAGGTGGTAACCCGCCAGGGCTCACTTGGCCTTCGCCAGGGCTTTCCCCTGCCCCCGGATGCTGCCTGCCGCGGCCAACACCTCCCCTCTCACGGCCCCACACGCGGCAGTCTTCTCCAGTTCCGCCACTGCCCCACTCCTCCCCTTCCAGAAGGGGTTCTTCCCCTTCCCCTTCCCCTTCCCCGCCGTCCCCGTATGATTCCGCAGCCGCCCCTATCGCCGCCACCGCCGCCACCGCGGAAGCCGCCGCTCGTTGCCACATGATACCCTGCGGAGTAGCGACTGGGGTGCTTCCCCCTTCCCCTCCCCCTCCCCTTTCCGCCGTCATCGCAACGAAAGATGCGCGCCCAAGCACCGATAGCCGCGGAGGCTCCGTAGATTCCGCGCGGAATCGCTCCCCCAAGGTCCCTCCAACGCGCGGATCGGGGGATTCTGGTGCGCGCATTCCGGCGGACGGCGGAAGATCTGCTGGTAACGGCGGTACTTCGGGGCGCGCGCCCGCTTGCGGAGGGTGCGCGCCAGAGGGGGACGCCGCACGAGCGCCGCCATTCGTATCCAGAGTTGCGACTCTATAACGCGCGGGCCTGTAGCGAGAGAGGCTATAGCGAGAGAGTGGCGCTAACCTGCGAAAGAATCGGGGGCCGTTACTCTTCACGGAAATACGGCAAAGGCGGCGTGTAAATTCACGATATACAACGAGCAACGCCTGACGCCTAATAACTATTCCGTGCGGCCTACAGATTACATGCCGAAAAGTGCGACGTGTGAAGTCTCTAAATGATAGGGTCGTAGAGGAGAGGCGCAAATCACTGAGCGGAAAGATGCGGAGCGGAACAATGCGGAGCGGAAAGATGCGGGGCGAGACGATGCGGAGCGGGGGGAGGGAGCGAGCAAACGCCGCGGCTTCTCTGGCCACCCTCTTAGTCCTTCTGGTATTGAGAGCCCTATCGCTCGACAGACTGATTCTCGTCTGCGACAAGCTCGAAATTGACGGCGACGGGTCGCGGGCGACTGTCTGTGCGACGGAGAGATGGGGGGAATCGGAAGGCGGAAGGGGCGACAGCCTTGTCATTCCTCTACCGCTTCATGGTTTTGCTTGGTTGGTCTTGCGCGTTGGCCCGAGCCCTAGAGCACTGGTTTCGTAATGCTACAGCAGATTCTAGGGAACTCACTCGGGATAAACTCGGGGAGGACGGGAGTATCTTTGGCTGCTAAGTACAGGAGGAACGGGATTGGAGAGGAGACGCGGGGTTCTCGCCTGTTATTGCTAGTTGCTGTGGCGTGCGTATGCGTGTAAGCGAGATGCGGAGGTGCGAGTTTCTTCCTCCACGTGTTGGGCGACAAAGCGAAACTGTCGGCAAGCGCAAGTGGCGATGTGACAATGATCCGGCATGGCGACCTGAAGGTGCCTGTTGGTCCGACGAATACCCCATGTGAGCTTCAGCTGTACGCAGCAGATTAGCAGCAGGTGAGCCATGGCTTTCAGGAGCTATTGTGCTTGAGCTATGCCTTGCGACAAATTGACAAATATTTACGATTTGAATGTGGGATGGCGAATTTAGCCGGATTGTGTGCAGCGGGCGACTTCGCGCTCAAAATCTGCTTTGCGGCGTGATGTGCGGATTCCATGCGGAACCGCACCGCATGCTCGAATTTCCACCTGAGATCCGTAGTCCATGCCTTTGGCGACACAAAAGCAGGCTGGCGAGAAATAAGTTCTTCGCCCCTAACGCCGTTGTCCAGTAGTATTTTGGGAATAGTGATCGCAACGGCTCCTCCAATTCGCGAAAACATTTGTGTTGGAGAGGCGCCGTGAGTCACGGCGTGGCTGGTTGAACTAACGAATCGTGAGCGTGGGTTGCGCTTGGGTTACGGGAAAAATTCCCGCGCTTTCTCGCGCGAGGTGCTCACGCCCCTCCCCCAGATAAAACAAGGGGAACTCCCCAGGTGGGCGGTCAGCTAGGCGCACCGGAAACATTGCCTTCGGAACATCGGACCCCTTGGATTGCAACTCGGGGCTATCAAAATGCAATTTCCAGTTCCAGAATCAAAATGAACTCTGTGTCCTGCTAGTTATCCACTGGCCTCTGACGAGAGTGGGTCCGAGTACACTTCAAGAAAGCGAAACTCGGTCTTTCTTAAGTTGGGAAGATTCCCGAGTCTCCGGCCATTGGAAGGCGTGTCGTATAACCGCTTGAAGCGTTGCTGTACTTCTGGTTCATATCACAGTTCAGAGACGGAAAACCTCGGGCCGTTGCCTTCGGAACTGCGGAATGAAACACGATCCTAAGAGCGTGGAAAGTGTCAAAACCAGACGTAAGTGCGCGCCAGGTTCGCATTCTAGAGAAGTTCCCGATCGGTTCCGAACGTTTCAGTAAGTTTTGAACAGGTTTTAGGTTTACGATTCCGTGCCTGTGCGCACCCGAACCCCGGCTCACTTGCACCACGCTCTGACCGTTTCCAGCTTTTTACTTCCTTATAGACTGGCGCGATTTAAGGCTCGCGTCGACGCCAGCCTCGGCAAATGGTGAAATCCAGATTCGAAAGCCTTTCCTTGAGTCAGACGCTATTTTTGAGCTACAGTCGCGTTCTCGGCACACAGTCACCGTCAGTCTGGCCGTAATTCTCCCTTGGAAAATAGCCGCACACCTGACGGCTCCTAATCGCGATTCCCCAAAATTAGAGAGTAGGTTTCCTTCGTGCGTTTCCTGTTGAAGCCAGCGCCTCCATCCATCAATCCACCCTCCTACCTTCCTTCTGCGATCGCGCGATCGCGCTCTCCCCCTCCCGCCTCTCGCGTTCCTTCCCCCTCGCGAATTCCGTCGGGTCTGTCCCGCTTCGTCCCCCCCATCCGTCGGGTCTGTCCTGTCCCTCTCGCCTTCCTTCCCTCCCCTCCGACGCGTCCCTCCCATTCGCCCCCTCCATCTCTCCCTCCCCAGCTCCCCCCCTTCCCCCCACTCCCCCACTTCCCCCACTCCCCTCCCTCCCCTCCCTCCCCTCCCTTCCCTCCACCTCTCCCCCCACTCCCCTCCCTCCCCTCCCTTCCCTCCACCTCTCCCCCCACTCCCCTCCCTCCCCTCCCTTCCCTCCACCTCTCCCCCCACTCCCCTCCCTCCCCTCCGTGCGTGTAGCTTGCTTTAGTCACCCGCGCCAATGAGGCAGCGATCCGCCATGGACCCGAGTGGCGATGGAGCCGCTGGCTCACGGAAGGACGAAGAGCCTCCAGAATTCCTCGACACCCAAGGTCGTGGGAATTTCCCTTTCCATTTCCCGCCCTGTTTTTTGAGACTCGGGTTACAAGCAACACGGTAACAGGTGACTTTTGAGTCGACTCAAAAGTTACAAGCAACACGGTAACATGTGACGGGTAACGAATTCATCGACATCCAAGGTCGTCGGGATTTCCCTTTCCTTCTCCCGCCTTTTCTCTACAGACTCTATTAGTAATTTCCTGGTTGGGTTACAAGCAACACGGTAACAGGTGACGGGTAACGAATTCATCGACATCCAAGGTTCCTTCTCCCGCCCTTTCTCTAACTCTAAATAGTAATTTCCTGGTTGGGTTACAAGCAACACGGTAATGGGTGAAGGACTGTGATGGTACTGTTGCTTAGTGAAAGATCACTCACTAATGAGTGAACAGATATGTGCTTTGCTTGACTGTATCAGTCTGGGTGTGAGGATGGAGGGTTGGGAGAGGAGGGGTGGGAGAGGAGGGTGGGGATTGATGGCATCGCGCTGCACTGCGTGGCATGGATTGGAATGAAATGGCATGGATGTTACTGGCATGCTATGGGCATGGCATGGCGTGCATGGTGTGGCATGGCGTGGCGTGGCGTGGCATGGCATGGCATGGCATGCAGAGCAGGAGGCAATGATAGAGGCGTTTGAGCAGCAGCACCGCGACTCACTGCGCTTCTGGAAGGTCCGTTGTACACTTGAGAATCCTCCTAGGCTGATTCTGACGTCCGTCGATTAGTCGTTCTTACAAAGGGAAGATAGGTGCAAATGGACTAATCGACGGACGTCAGAATCAGCCTAGGAGGAATCAGCCTAGGAGGAATCAGCCTAGAGGACTTCTTTTCTTGAATGCACCTATGTTACTCCTTCGACGCCTTCTATTTTCTTCTATTTTCCTCCCATCCTTTTCTCTTTTCGCGCCTGCTTGTTTCGTGCCCTTGATGTGAGATACAAATCCCTCTCCGTGTGTAATGAGTCGATTTTTTAGTCGAATCATTACACACATTTTGAGTCGACTAAAAAATCGACTCATTACACACTTGTTTCGTATCCTTGACGTGACGTATCCTCGACAAATCCCTCTCGATCCGTCCCTCGTTGTCCCCCTTGCAGGTCTGCCTATCCCTGTTGCTGCTCGCCTATGCGTCGTTTCTGGTGCATGGGATCATCAACCTCGTCATATCTCCCTTGGGGCAGGTGTGTATTCATTTTCCTCATGGTCCTCATTGTTGGTCTCGTGGGCATTCGTCCTCATTTTCGTTCTCCCTTTTCTCTTGGCCTTGTAGCCATTCTTCCTCATTTTCATCTCTATAATTCATGTCTTCGAACTTCATGTGCTCGCCTTAATTGTCACCCTTCCCCTTCCCCCCTTCATGTGCTCGCCTTAATTGTCACCCTTCCCCCTCCCCCCTTCATGTGCTCGCCTTAATTGTCACCCTTCCCCCTCCCCCCTTCATGTGCTGGCCCTTCATGTGCTGGCCCTTCATGTGCTGGCCCTTCATGTGCTCGCCCTTCATGTGCTGGCCCTTCATGTGCTGGCCCTTCATGTGCTCGCCCTTCATGTGCTCGCCCTTCATGTGCTCGCCCTTCATGTGCTGGCCCTTCATGTGCTCTCTGTTCCCCTCCCCTCCCCTCCCTGCGCTGCCCCAAGCAGAGGCGCCATGCAGAGCTGCGTCAGATTCTGGATCTCACAACCCTAGCTGCTGCCGGTATGATGCTCCCCCTTCTCGTTTTGCCTGCTGCCCCTCCTCTTTCTGCCTGCTTCCCCTCCCCCTTCCGCCTGCTGCCCCTCCTCTTTCTGCCTGTTGCCCCTCCCCCTTCCGCCTGCTGCCCCTCCTCTTTCTGCCTGTTGCCGCTCCCCCTTCCGCCTGCTGCCCCTCCTCTTTCTGCTGGCAGCGCCGAAACTTCTGCTGTATGTTGCGTCCCTCCTGCCTGACTCACCCATCTCCCCTGCCTCCCTCCCTCGCACTCCTCAGTTTCTCTCTCCCCCATCCTCCCCCTAAGACGTGGCATCAGTAGCAGCCTCCGTAGTTCTCCCTCTCTCCCTCTGGCTTCACGGCTCCACCCGCTGCCTCCTCTTCCGCCTCACTCTTCCTTCTCCCCTGCCTTTCGTTCTCCCTCTCCCCCAGACCTGGCAGCAGTAGCTGCCTCTGCGGCTCTCCTTCTCTTCCTCTGGCTGCATGGCTCTGCTCGCCGCCTCCTCTTCCTCTCGTCTGCTGCTCTCTCTACACTGCTAGCACTCTTCTGGATATACACTCTGCTACAGTAAGTGTCGCTGCCTAACTGCCCGGCTTTAGTGAATTTTTTCTGCCTTGCAAAACGCCTATAAGACATGTTTACGGTGGCAGGTATTTGGGGCTTGTCTGTGGGGCAGTCTAGTGTAGTGTTTCGGAAACAGTCTGTCATTATTCTCCCTCTTCTCTTCCCCTCCTCATTCTCATGTGCCACGATTGAACTGCAAGGCTGACAACACCGTTTCGGTGGCAGCTCTTCTGGTTACCCCTTGCAAATCCAGTGTAAGATCGCTCGTCCATCCCGCTCCTCCCACGCCTAGTGACCCTCCTCTTCTGTAGTTTGTCGGCCATCTGCCTTCCTGCGAACACACGCTTTGAGCCTTCCGCATTCATCTAGTGTGCATTTTGCAGTTGTTTTTGCCGAACTGTTGAAAGAACTATGTGACTGACTAAGCACTATTTGTCTGTGCCTATGCAGGTTTGTACTACTCTCAGTCTTCATCCACCATTCCTTTGGAGGCTTGGAAGACGAGATTGCGAAGCTTCGCGGCCTCAAATACGAGCACAAGAGAGTTTAATTCAAAGGAGTTACACCAGATAGCGTCGTGGCACTGGGATAGCCCTGTCGAACCTCTTCTCCCTCTAAGGAGGGTACTGGGGAGGCTTTCCCTGAGGAAGGTGGATATATGGTGCCTAACTCTCCTGAGGACATCCCTTCTTGTCCCAGTGGTTAGAACTGGTGACTTGATGACTGATAGAACCAGATAAACCTATTAGTGCAGTGCCAACCACACCTCATAAGGTAACGAATGGTTACGGCCATCAGACCTGTTTGCAATGCCTAGACGTCACAAAACAATTTGGAGAGTTTTGCAGAGATAAAATTAAGCCTCGGTATCACAAAGTTGAGAGAGGCACACCAGAAGGGAAACTGGATGTAAGGTAAAGTAGTAAGAAAAAACTGTCCTACACACATGTGTGGAGTAGAGTAATAACGTGGCCCATACAGGTCTCGAACCTATGACCTTCGCGTTATTAGCACGACGCTCTAACCAGCTGAGCTAATAGGCCGATGTCTCGACTTGACAGAAAAATTAAACGACAAAATATCAACGGCGCTGCTTCGTTTCTCTACGGTTTGAAGAGGTGCTATGGTTTCAGAAGCTCTGTGTGTGCTCATATTATAGCAATTGTCGCACTTACTCATTGAACGCTAGCGCATCATAAACAGGTGGCAGCGTCCATGGTGGTCGTCAGCGCCACTCACGGCGACCGACGCCACCATGCCTCATCCTCGTGTCGCTCACAGGCTGTGCGAAGCGTGCTAGGCCGAACGCTCAGCCCTCATGTTCAACTCATTCCGCGAGCCGAGCCGGGGATTGACATGCCTGCCATTGATCGACGAGTATGGCGTCCCTATGCTCTCTCCTCCCTGCGTGTCGCGCGCGCTTTGCTCCCATCGCCTCCCTTCATAACTTCCTCTTCCAGTAAAAGAAGTCTTCATTCCTGTGCTCTCCGCTCAAGACGATTTTTGAGTCGGCTCAAAAATCGCTTTGCTCCCATCGCCTCCCTTCATAAATTCCTCTTCCAGTACAAGAAGTCTTCAGTCCTGTGCTCTCCGCTCAACCCTTTCGTTTCCAGCTGCTTCCAGCACTCGGACTTCCGCGTTCTTGACCTCAGAATCCAATCACCCAGCGTCTCCGATTCGCGCCATGGCGACTCATCCTCCCACGCAGCATCAGACGCGGCAGCCCGGCGTGCAGCATCAGATGAAGCCAGAACCCTCTGTAACCCGCCAGGCATATAAGCCGGCTGACAAGCTCAAGGTATGTGGCTTGAGCAAAGCGGTAGGGTGGGGATGGTTGGGGATCGGTGGAGGAGGGGCTAGAGATTTCGGCGTACAAATGTGAGGCGCTGTTCAACCACTATGTTCGCTCTTTTTATCCTGAAACTGTATATGTGTCGCACACAACTCTCTCTTCGGGTATCCTGCAACCCAACTAGCCGGGCTCTCCTGGTGGCTGCCTCCGCTTGTATGTTATGAGGCTCTTTGCCCCACTCTCCAAGTATAAAAGCCCGAGGCGAAATCTCTAAGCCAAAGATTTGCTCGCTACCCCTCAGTTTGGTCTCCCTTCATGGATCTGGTTTAGCTCAGGAAAATGCATTCACTAGCAAGAGCCATACAACCTTCCCAAATTACGAGAGAACAAACAGAGTAGCTGTCATACGACGAGCAAGCTCCTTTACGCTACTCCTAGCCGAAGGCACTCCTCCACCCAGGTCCTGCACTCCCTCGAGCTTAACCTCTTACCAGCACTAATGATTACGCCTCCTCGCTGTCCCCCTGAATCCGGCCCCTTATCTCCCGCACTCTTTTGCATGTCGAGCTATCCAGCCGCTCCTGTCCCCACTGAGCTGGACACTGTCTTCCATTCGCCACCTCCAGCTGTCTCGCCAGCTCAATCCCATGAGCTTTGCGACCCATCACTGTACTTCCCACATTACTCCGCATAACAATCTACTTTACGTATTTTCCTTACACTTTCTACACCTCTTCCCTTCCGTGCTGTCCCATATATCTCATGACACTTTTCCGTTCATGCGATTTATGCGACATATGCACGCCCGAACGCAATCAGCTATTAAGGTGTAACCACGAGCCTTTTTTTGCTCCCTTATTCTCGGTGCAGGGGAAGATTGCTCTGATCACCGGAGGGGATTCAGGAATCGGCAGATCCGTGGCGCACCACTTCGCGCTGGAGGGAGCGGCAGTGGCGTTCACGTACGTGTCACCCCAAGAGGACAAGGACGCCCAGGAAACGCTCAGGATGCTCAGGGAGGCTCAGCGCCCAGAGCACAAGCAGCCGCTGGCAATTCCGGTGGACCTTGGGTTTCATGAGAACTGCAAGGAGGTGAGTCTCAGTGCTTGTGTAACAGATTGTTGTGCTGTGTAACAAATTGTTGTTGTTTCCTTGTTGTTTGATTGTTGTGCTGTGCTGTGTTATTGTTGTTGTCCTGTTGTTTGTTGTTGTTTTTGCTGTTTGTTTGTTTGGACACAATTTTTTGTGTGCTTGTACCTATCGGTGCAGGTTGTGAAGAAGCTGTCGGAGCACTTTGGCGGCAACATTGACATCCTTGTGAACAACGCTGCTGAGCAGCACACCCACAAGAGCCTCGAGGAGATCTCCCCTGAGGAGTGGGATGGCACCTTCAAAACCAACATCCATGCCTACTTCTACATGGCGAAGTAATGCTACGAACATTTGGCACATCCTGTCAACCATTTTGATTGCTGAGCCGGGGTCCAGGCCTTGTCTAGCATGGCATGTTATAATGTAGCATGTGGCACTGGCATAAGTCTCATCTTGCTCAGGCCCTGCTATTCTCACCTGTAGGTATACGCTGCCTCACATGAAGGAAGGCAGCTGCATCATCAACACCACTTCTGTTACTGCCTATGCTGGCAATCCCTCCCTCGTGCCGTATTCCACTACCAAGGCTGCCATTGTTGGCTTCACTCGCTCTCTCGCCCTCATGGTGGTCGACAAGGGGATTCGTGTCAACGGTGAGTTTCATAGTCACCATGATGCGTATGACATCCTTACTAGTATGACCTTGCGAGTCGGGGGACATTGACACATGCTAAGTGCTATGCTGTTTGCTGGTGGGCAGGTGTGGCGCCTGGGCCTGTGTGGACGCCTCTCATCCCTGCCATCTTCGAAGAGGAGAAGGTGGAGGGGTTTGGCAAGCAGGTGCCCATGAAACGGGTGGGTCAGCCTGATGAGATCGCCCCTTCTTATGTGTTCCTGGCATGCGACGATTCTTCCTATTTCACCGGTCAAGTGCTCCACCCCAATGGTATGAGTGCCATTTTTATTTGACCTTCCGCTATCTCATTTCTGTTACATGAGTTTTAATACCTCCATTTCTTGTTTGGCAGGTGGCGTGGTTGTGAACGCATAGACAATTTCTTAGAAACTTAGGACTCAAGGTTCTTAAACTTAGGAGGCTAGGTTGGCTAGGATACTAGGAAGAAGGCCGCCATGGAATGGCGTGAGGAAAACGGATCTAGGAAGGGAGAGAATGTCGAGAAGAAAGGTGTTTGATTAGGAAGAGAGAGGAGTACAAGAAGGGGTTTGTACCCTCTACAGAAAGGTTCAGTAACAACTTACCAAGCCTATATTAAATTATAACTTATATAATTTTAACACACCCCCTAGGCTTGGTAGTCACACACCCACCCAACCCACCCCCTAACCCCGCACACCCTCAAGCTCGTGCTTAGCCGGGTATCTGACCCTCGTGCAAAGCGTTGACACACCCCCGTACACGAGGCAGCCTACGGCGTCTGGGCGGGTCAGCGTCAAGCAGCAGCGGAGCTCTGGCTCAAGGCGGCTGGGTCGCTGACGACAGGCGGCGACTGCCTCGGCTGAGGGCTCTCGGCGGTGTGGCAACGTCCGGGCAGATGACAGCAGCTGCGACAGGAGGAAGGGAAGACGCAGGGGGAAGGGAGAATGGGGGAAAGTGGGGCGAGTCTTCAGCGACGCGCCATAAATGGCGCGGCGCTTACTGGCGGGAGGACGGCGTCCAAAGGGATGCCAGTGGCTGGCGAGCGGGCGACAGGTCCGGCTGCGTCACAGACGTCGCTCGGCCGGCCGCAGTCTGACGATGCCAGCGGCTGCCGTAGACGCCGCCACAGCGCACCGTCAATGCCGCAGCGGCGAGGCGGACGGGCGACGGCTGCACCAAGGGGCCGTCGCGACACCTTGGCGCCGCGACGGCAGGCAACAAGGGGCCGTCGCGACATCTTGGTGCCGCGACGGCAGGCAACAAGGGGCCGTCGCGACAGCTTGGTGCCGCGACGGCAGGCAACAAGGGGCCGTCGCGACAGCTTGGTGCCGCGACGGCAGGCAGGCAGAAAACCGCGAAGGCTGCGAATGCAGCAGGAGTACGCAACGGGAACGTAGGGAGAGGGTCCGGTGGACACGACCGGCTCTGATACCATCTTAAAGTAGCTCTAGGCTAGGATACTAGGCAGGAACAAGGCCGCCATGAATGTGGCGGCGGGGTTTAGCTAGGAGCTGGACGAGAGTGTCGAGAGAGAAGAGAGGTGTTTGATTAGGAAGAGAGAGGAGTACAAGAAGGGGTTTGTACCCTCTACAGAAAGGTTCAGTAACAACCTACCAAGCCTATATTAAATTATAACTTATATAATTTTAACACAATTAACTGAAATGCAATGCACTTGTGGAGGGGGATATGGTAGGGAGTTTTTGAGCTGCTTGGTAGTGGAACATGTGGACATTGGATGGGGGATATTATTGAGCCCTTAGTAGTCTCTTGTAACGTCTGTAAATAGGCATGAAATGTGTTCCACATTGTACATGCCGCTGTTGTCGTGCCAGAAATTGGGGAAATACATTAGCGTTTTGCAGAATACTAATGATATGGACATAAGGAGATAATGTGGACGTAACAAAGTAGAGATAACGTGGACATTGAATTGTCCTAAGAAATACTTTGGGATCACTGTTATTCGGTACATATCGGTTCATTCAATATCGACCATTGGCGGCATGTGACCAACATATGATAATGCCTTTTATCACTCCCAAGCTGTCTCGACTTTTGTTCCCCCTAAGTAGAACCTAGCTGTCCTGTTTCGACACGCGCGGTGGAGCTAAAAGACAGCGTATCCTATCCGGTTGACTATTACGTACCACACCACCAAAAACCAGCCTTGAAAATCCTACATTATGGCCATGGAGGATGTCCAGATGGCTGATATCGCGCCTCCTGAGGAGGTGAGTGGAATGCTTAGTACAAATGGTCGTGGTCATTGAAGCTATTCGTGACGGGAAATTTCCCACAGGTCCGCAGGAGAATCGAAGTGTTAGTCCTGGAGTTTCTGCGTGGTCTCGTCAGCCATGAACGCCCAAACATAAAGAGCCTGTCACTTGTGAGTATGCCACTACTTCCTTCGCGCTTGCGAAACATTGCAATTCTTACGAACTTGGACACCAACAGATTCGGCGTGACGCTTCAAACTTCAGAGCTTATGGGGGTGACGAAGAAAATGTCAGACTGGGCCTTGCACACACGTTGAAAGAGCGCTCATTGACGGGACTGAACGGAAAAAGGGTTCTCCCTTATGTTCGTGGTATGCGTTCTGGCCAGCAAAGACGTTCTTAGGATTTCTGTATTTTCGACCGAAATGCCTGACTGGAATTGGTCATTACAGTTTGGAAAGTTCTCGCCCTGGTTTACAAGCTACTCGAAGATGGCAGAATGTCGACACAGAGAGAGATCTATTATCGTCTGCTTGGTGAAAATCAAGAGTACTTCAAGAAGCAACGTGATTGCAACGAGGCCATTCAAGGTACGCTAGATGCCATTGCGTTTCAGGCTAGCATCAGACGCAATACTCTAACATTATGTGTACAGAGACTGTGGCCCTCCTTCGCTGCAGCAGATGCAGCTTGGGTATTTATGCATCAAGCAAGGGTACAGTTGCTGGTCGCCTATCTATGAGGGTACGTTATATTTCAAATCATTCTTGGCAGATAGAGGAGCGGCATGTGGTATTCACGAACTGCCTTTGATGCAGGAAGGAGAAACTGGACAGTGGATTGATTGCACCAGTCGGGGGAGTGCTGGCGTTTCAATCACTGGGAACTTATGGAACATTGAGAAACTGACTTTCAAGACAGATGCTCGATACATTATTGTAGTTGAAAAGGTGTGCATTGTGCTGAAGCCTTTCTTCTGCATGTTTGATTCCCACTTCATTTTGTCTGATGCTTTAGAATGGTGTTCTGCAGGACACCGTCTTCCAACGGCTTGTTCAGGATCGTTTGTTCAATGAGATTCCGTGCATTCTGATCACTGCGAAGGGTTTCCCTGATCTGGCAACGAGGTAAGAAGGGAGGAAACCAGGGGATAAAGGGTATTCCCGTTTCTCTAACTCGCTTTTCCTTTAGCAGAGCTTTTTTGCGAAGTCTACATCTGCACTACCCAAAGATTCCAATCCTTGGGTTTGTGGATATGTGAGTGTTCACCATCAGCATTTCACTCAAGTTGCACAAGTTATATTGTGTTGTGATGCTCAGTATGCCTATAAGTCCGCAGGAATCCAGCAGGGCTGTCAATTATATGCACATACAAGTTTGGATCAGGCCAAATGGGTCTTGAGGGTCCACGATATGGTATGCCCCTGTGCTTGAGAAATATGTATTTCCTCATTCAATGTGCTTTATTTGGCTTCCTTTGTCGTCAGCATGTGATGTGAAGTGGCTTGGACTGAGATTTGGAGATGTCAAGTATGTTCCTGACGATGGACTACAACCACTGTCAAATCGGGACAGGGTATTGGCCCAGAGTCTCATGCAAACTGCAGCTCTTCAGGTAAGGATATCATCGAGTGTTCCTAGCAGCTATGTCTTTACCGCTTTCTCATCCACCATTCATGCAGATGCACAGCTCTTACATTGATGAGCTTGAAGCTATTGTGGACTTTGGGAAAAAGGCAGACATTGAGGCTCTCCATTCCAATGGACCAGATTTCCTTGTGAAGTTCATCATCCAGAAAATTGTACATCAGGATTACATTTGAGGTTCAAGTAACAGTGGCAGAACTAAGACTGGTGTTCAGGATTATGTCTTTTTCTTCTAGTAGTTTTCCCGAGGATGATTAGTTAGTCACATTTGTAAGGCCATGCAACGAGGTAGAGCTGATGAAAAGCACTCAACCAGTTTATCTCGCATCTACTCTACAAAAGCAAGGGCACCTACCTCCTACTCCATGACCCCGGCCTTCGTTGCGCATTGATGCTCATCGCATGACTTGCAATGATATTAGCCGCATCAGCATTGGGAGAAGCATACCTCGGGCTCGCTGCTCGGGGGCTCATGAACCTAGGGGAAGCCCCCTTTGGAGCTCCAGGACTCGGCCGTTGTGGTGGTGGGCTCAGTGCTCTCGGGCTTGACCTCATGGCAGCATTGGCAATGAGGGCACCGACATCAGGCGCCCCTGGGCTGGATGCAGCAAGGGAGCAACGCGGGCTGAGAGAGCGGAGGGAGTCTGTCCTGCCGTTGGAGTAGAGCGGTCGTGGGCTCGCCCTGCTGGATTCGGACCGGCCGGGTGCAGTCATGTTGCCATTGGCATAGCTGGGGCTTGGATCTCGGACTGTCAGTGACCTGGCACTCACAGGGCTAGGTCTTCGAGCCACCCAGTCATCCCTCTGCATGAAGACATCACACATGAAACAGGGGGGGAAGGTGTTTCAGTTTGAGACGATTGCTGCTGGAGGCCCTGGAAGTGCCATAACTGCTCCCTGAGTCAATCAGTGGTCAGTCTCACCTGCTTGGGGTCTTCACTCTCCAGCATGTGGACGATCTGGGTCATGCGAGGCCGCTTGAGGGCGTTGGTCTCCACACAGCGCATGGCGATGCCGAGCACGTACTCGGCATCATCGGGAGACACCAGGCCTTGCAGCCGGGGGTCAACAATCTCAATCAGCCGCTCCTGAGAGCTCAGCTTCTTCGCCCACTTCACCAGATCCATCTGCAGCAGCATCACAATCAGAACACCAAAACAGCTTAAAGTTGGAACTCCCCAGCAAGAGAAAAAAGACAGCGCAAATATGCAGAGGTAGAACCGAGACAAAGGCAAGTATGGGATGCAATACCTCGTCTGGAGGAGCTCCATTGTCGATCGGCTTTCTTCCGGATATGACCTCAAGAAGCAGCACGCCGAAGCTGTAGACGTCACTGCGCTCAGTCAGCAGCCCGGTGTTCATGTACTCTGGAGCCACGTATCTGTAACACAGAACAAGAGACATTAGAAAATGTGAACCTGAGGGGCACCCAAACAAACCCATGAATGGAACAATGCAAAGCAGTAATGCTGCCATGGATGAAACGGTGCAAAGGTGCACTGGAAGGGCGGGCAACAATCAAGTAGAGGGCGAGACGGAGACGGCACGTACCCGAAGGTCCCAACGACACGTGTGGCGGCGTGGCTCTGGTCGCGGCCCATGACCTTGGCAATGGCAAAGTCTCCTAGCTTGGGGTTCCACTGGGCGTCTAAAAGGACGTTAGAGGCCTTCACATCCCGGTGCACCACCTTCAGGTCAAGGCCCTCGTGCAGGTGAGCCAGACTGCATAGGAGCAGCAAGCACAGGGTAACCAAAGGGAAAGAGGGAGGTTAAGTGCTGGTGAGCAGCCATGGCCTTCAGCCTTCACGTCCCGGTGACAGCGAAGTAGGAACGGACGAGAAGCCCATTACAGCGGAAGAAAAATAGTGGACAGCAAGAGAGGCAAAGGTATCTCACCCTCGAGCGCAGCCGATGGCGATGTGCATGCGCATGGGCCAGTCGATGGGCTCCATGTTGCTGCTCTGGTGCAGCCACGCCTCCAGAGAGCCGTTGGGCACAAACTCATACACGAGCATGCGCTCCTCCTCCTCCGCACAGCACCCCAGCAGCGCCACCAGGTTCGGGTGCCGGGCGTGGCTCAGCGACTCCACCTCGAACCGGAACTCCCGCGCAGTTTGGTCCAGGCTGGTTGTTGGTAGTTAAGAGGGGGAAACACACGGAGTCAAGAATGGGTACAGGGGTTGGTTGTAAGGCACTAGCTGTTGGACACGAGCTCAGAAGGAGAGAGGCAGGGGGCCAGTGAACGGGCAAGGAACGGAGGGCCCAGAGGGCATACAGAAGGGGCATTTCCTTCCTGTAGACTCACTTTCTCTGGGTAAGTCGCTTCACTGCCACTGTCGTCCCGTCGGGCAGCCGAGCCTTGTACACCGAGCCGTCCCTGCCCGTGCCCAAAACATTTCGCTGAGACTGCCGCCCGAAATCATTGGTCGCCAGTGACAGCTCAGCAACAGTGAAGAACCTCTCAACGCCGCTCCCATCCCCTGCCACGTCATCTGATGCCTCTGGTGCCACGTCAGCTCCCCCTCCTGATCCGCCTGATGGGGGAATCCACACCCCCCCTCTTCCGCCCATTCCCCCTCCCGCTCCCCCCGAGCCCCTTCCGCTCCCATACTTCCGACTGCTGCTCCTCAGCTCCCCCACCACGTCATCTTCCCCCTCCCCCTCTCCCCCCGCCTCCTCCAAATCCGCCACTCTAAGCGCTCTCCCCGCCGCCCCATACTTGGGGGTAACTGACGCCGTCCCAGCCCCCATACCCGCGCCAGCACCTGCCCCCTCCCCCTTCCCTTCCCCGGGCCCACTCCGCCTCATGGCGTTCGGCGGGGGAGCGGGTGACACGTCATCCTCCCCCATTCCCCCTCCCCTTCTCCCTTGCCTCCTAGGCCCAGCCCCAGCCATAGATTTCAGCTGGGGGATTGGGACGGCAGGAGGGATCAGCACCGGCCGGTTAGATCCTCCAGATTTGATTTGATTCTCATCAGAATCCACCGGGATTTCCACCACTGTGGGGATCCCCTCCTCCCGGAGGATCGGCACAGGTTCGGCTGGCTTGGGCGGCGTCCCGTGGTAGCCTCGGTTCGGCGAGGAGGACCGGTGGTTACCACCGCCGGGCGAGGGGGAGTTACGGTTACCGGAGCGGGACCAGGAGGGCATGCGCGGGGGTGTGCTGTCCCGGTTGCGCGGAGCCGAGGGGGGAATGGCAGGCGGAGGCACTTCATGCGCCAGCGAACCACCACTAGCACCAGCACCAGCACCACCATCACCACCAGCAGCACCATTCCCAACAGCAGCATTGGCACTGTCGTTGTTGGCCCGCCTGGTTGACCCGTCCTTATTCCCCTTGGGTGACGGGCTGGTCTCAGGGCTCTTGCTCTGCTGGTGCCCGGCTCTCTCCGTCTTAGGCGCGGTCTTCTCTCGTCTCGATCCATCCCGGCCCGGGACAGCCTCTGGCTCGGCTGCTCCCGAGCCTGGCTTCCTGGCTCGGGGACTCTCCGGCCGAGCCTTGTGTGGAGAGGTCTGGGGACTCCTCCTCGAACCAGAAGCAGCGGCAACAGCAGCAGCAGCAGCGACTGCCTTTCGATCGCTGCCGCTTCTGCCACTGCCAAACGAACGGGAGCCTAAAGCACCAACAGCAGCAGAGCCACCAGCACCCGTTGGATCGTGCTGGTCGCCACGTGGCGACGATCCAACACTCTCCTTATCCGCGTTAAGAGTGCTCCTAGGGCTGTCTTTCTTGGGGGAAGGGGAGTGGGACTTGCCGGACCTGCCCTTGCTCTTGCTTCCCGAACCTGCGATCGCAGCTCCGGCTGCCGCACCTGTGGCACTCACTGCCGAGGCTGCAGCCGCGGATTCCGCCGGACCTGAGCGCAGGGCAGGCTCGGAAGGGAGCTCCACGACCGTTACAGGAGGCACGTCAACGGCGTGGTAACCCGAGTGGTAACCACTACCATTGTGGTTCCCACTCGTCCCGTTATTGCCAGACTCGATATCGATACGGTGGTGCTTGGACGGAGAATGACGCTTAGAAGGCGATTTTTTCTTAGAGGAGCTCCGACCAGCACCCGCCACTGCTGCCCCTGCCGCTGCGCCCGCTGCTGCGCCCGCCACCGCCGCTGCTGCTCCACCAGCGCCTCCCCCGGCTTCTCCGCCCGCTGAGGGGCTCCGCGTCTTGCTTTTAGACTTGCTTGCGGGGGGCGGAGTGAGGTCCTTGTTGCTCCGTATTGCCTTGTACGCTGCTGCGCGCTGCAGAGGGGAGGATGGAAATAGGAGGGGAAACGGAGGGGAAGGGGACGGGGAGAGCGGAAGAAAGGCGGGAGCGATAGTGAGGGGGACAGAGCCTTGAGGGGGACGGAGCCAGCTCCTTGTTCTTCCGTATGGTCGTGTACGCTGCTGCGCGCTGCAGGGGGAAAGGAGGGGAAGGGAAGAGCGGGAGAAGAGAGGGAAAGAAGAAGAGACTCAATGCAGGATGATACGGAGGGGGAGTCAGGTCCTTGTAGCTCCGTAGGTGATTTTTGAGTCGACTAAAAATCAATGCAGGGAGATACGGAGGGGGAGTGAGGTCCTTGTTGCTCCGTATGGCATTGTACGCTGCTGCGCGTTGTAGAGGGGAGGAGGGGAAAGGGAGGCCAAGGGAGGAAAGGGAGGGGAAGGGACAGGAAGGGCGAAAGGGTAGAGGATAAGCACGGGCATGCGACTACAACGAAAGACTTCTCTAACAGAGCGGCTTTGCCACTTACCGCGCGGGATTGCTTGGGGCGCCACCAGCAGCAGTAGCCGATAATTGTCGCCGCCAGAATCACAAGCAGCGCGCCTCCCGCGGCAATCCCAATGTATACCCCCATGCTCATCCCGCCGCTGCTCCCGCCGCTGCTCCCCTCGCTGCTCCCGCCCTCGCTGCTGTTTGCGCCGCTGCTTCCGCCCTCCGCCACTGCCGCGGTGCTGCCGGAGAGGTCCGCTGGTGCGGAAGCGGAGGGGGCGGCGGAACCGGGGGGCGGGGAGAGCGGAATGAGCGGCTGCACGGGCTGCGGGTCGTCCGCGGGCGGCGGAGAGGGCGGAGCCTTGGCGGAAGGTGAGGGGGAGGACGGCGGGGAAGACAGCTTGGCGGGGGAAGGGGAGACGGTCGGCGCGGGGGAACTCGGCGAGGCGGAAGGCCCGGAGGTTGAAGGGTCGGGGCTCTTAGCAGGAGACGGGAGCGGTTTTGTCGGCAAGGGGAGCGGTTTTGTCGGCGATGGAGTCGGCGTTTTTGTCGGGGGCTTGACCACCGGCGGGGTAACCTTAGGAGGTGGCGATTTAACGACGGGAGGTTTAACGACGGGCGGTTTAACGACCGGCTTCACAGGCGGCTTGACCTTGGGCGGCGGGGATTTCTTAGAGACGTACGGCGGGTCGCCAGGGCAGGTATCGAGTCCCTTAAAGCCCGTCCCGCAGAAGCCATACCCATTCTCGGAGAAATTATACTTGGCGTTACTCTCGCGGAGGTAGTTAAGTCCCGCGGGAACGCGCCCCTGTAGCTGGTTATGCGCGAGGGAAATAGACTTAAGGCGCTTTAAATTCCCGACCGTCGCGGGGATCTCGCCCGAGAGCTGGTTGTTGTTCAGCTCGAGGAATTTAAGCTGGGGTAAGTCGCCGAGAGACGCGGGGATGGTGTCGGAGAGTATGTTGTGGCTGAGGTCGACGGCGAGGAGATTCGTCATTCGGCCGAGGTCCGGTATTACTCCCCCGATGTTGTTACAGCAGAGGTTCAGGACCTGTCATTCGACACAATCACATTCGGTAAGAGGAGATTGATTGGCATACGAGTAGTTCGAGTCGAAGAAAGGGTTAGGCGAGATGGGGAAAATGGAAAGGCATAGCGAGCGAGGACGGACGCCATGACGTAGGAAGCCACGGGTCAACCATGGCGTTGCATTCACTGCGAGCTAAGACGGTTAGATTGGTAGGTGGCGGCGCGTTTCGTTCCGAATACCTTCGCGAAAGGACTCACCATCAGTGAAGGAAGGTTGGCGATGTCGACGGGGATGTTACCATGCAGCGAGTTTTCGCCGAGGTCTAGCCACGTGAGCGTGTTGATCTGAACGATTTCGGGCGGCACTTCGCCGGACAGCGCGAGGCTGCGTAGCGAAATCTCAACCACCTCGTTCTTCGCGTTACACTTCACCCCCTAGGAAAACGAAGACAGGCGGAAAACAGTAACGGAAATAGAATTGGAAATAGAATTGGAAACAGGCGAAACCACTGCGAGGCGATGGTTCAGTCGAAGACGAGTCCCCTGACCAAGGAACACGAAGGGACTAACATACTTAGGTAAGCCTGTTAATGAAATGAACACAGGAGAAATTCGGCATTCTTTGCAGGCATGAGACCAGCGGATGCCGTGAGCTACGATGGCAATATGACGGTAACCCCTATGCAGCTTATGTAGGCGCGTACTTTGAATGGCGGGTTGGCACACGCGTCAGAGTTGCTGTCCCACGTGGATAGGATCTGATTGCTCGGATCCAGCTTCATCGCGATCCCCGTCCAGTCCGTCGCTGCTACTAACGAAGCGGCGCTCATCACTATAGCGAGGACAACCGCAGCCCTCATGGCTGGATCTAAATCCCGCCCAGTTGATTTAGCCTTCCTTCGCATCTTTCTATCTTTTTGTTTCTGTTTATGACTACGCTCTCTAAGCTGACAACGTGGATCGCTGACGAGCTAGTTAGCGAGGTTCGCGACGTCTAGTGTTCACTCGCGTCGCGCATTTCCGAGGCTAGTCGAATGTGACTTAATCTGGATTTAGCAGACGATTCAACTCGTTACGCACTAATCACTGATGCTACAGCTCGAACTGCGGCCTTGAGCTTCTTAGAAGTGAGGTGTCGCCTAGCGGAGAACACTACGCACTCGCGGGCATAGAGCTGAAACTTCTCTGTGGAATAACCAAGTCGATTGCGCAATAGCAAATGCTCATCCCTCTCACACGCTTGGCGCAAAACTCAGACCCGACACTGACGTGGGCAATAGCAGCCGGACCATCAGCACAACCTTTTCGTGAGGGCTAGCAGCTGAAAGCAAGGGCAATGAACAAGCAGCAGCAGAAAGGGCCGAGACTCCAAGCAACCTCCCTGGCCCTGGATGGGTGCGGTGGTGGTGGTGGGGGCAGTGGAAGGAAGGTGATTGACAGACAATGCACCCCTCCCTCCCTGCAAACTCGCGAGACTGCCGTTGTCGTGGAAAATGTCCAATCTCGCAAAATGTCACTCCGACATCCCATCTCGACCCGAGGCGCACCTTGAATTTCCGAGCCGCATTCGGGCGAGCCGCGAGCTTGTCGTGGGTCTGGAATTTCGAGCAGGCAAGGTCTCAAGGTTTGGTGGTTCGGCTCGGCACTCACGGGAACTTGTGGTACGGTTTTGGCGCGAGGCGAAATGCAAGCTCGGTGACGCTTGATGCGCGGTCAAGCTGTTTTGCGTGGCCTGTCTGCGAGGCACCCGTTGAAGGGGGAGCAAGCCGCAGCTGGCATGGAAGGACGCAAGGATTTCATTGGGCAGTTCCGGCTGGCTTGGCCGAACCTAAAACGTCGGAGCAGCACAGTGCAGACAAAGCTGAGCTTGCGATTCGTCAGGCGAGGGAGAAAGCGTTTTCGCCTGAAAGTTGCTGTAGAGGGTTATAGCAAGTTACACCTGTTATGAATGAACAAGCAGAGTAGCGCGGAAATGAATAACGAATTGTTCAATCACTGAATGACGATGGCAAGCCAGGCACAATGAGATGGGAAGGTTCGGGAAAGAGATCGAAGGGTCTCGAAGTGACGAAGCGAGGCACGGAGAACTCCCGAAGGTCGAACTAGAAGGTCTGGAGAAGCCGAGGCGGTTCTGTCAGAAAGGTCCGGAACTGTCCCGACCCGAGGCTTCGGGTGTGTTCGAGCGTACGCGATAGCAGTACCGCTCGGTAAGGAATGGAAAATTCCTGACACCACCCCCCCCCTTAGCGAAGGTGATCTATATCAGCCGCGTGCTTGCGGGCCAAATAATTCGCAAGTACCGAAGGTGACTGTATCTGGTCCAAGGGCACCCACGTGTCGTCCTCACTGATACGATTGGTCCATCTTATTAGAAAGTCAACATGTCGTCCTTGGCCGTCGATACGAATCCAATGGCTCAAAATCTTCGAAGGCTCGATGGTCGTCTCCGCCGGTGGCCGTACATCCGGGACCAATCGCTGTCGGGCGATGTCTGATGTGTCGGGTACGAAAGGTCGCAACAGGCTCACGTGGAACTTGTTGTGAATACGCCAATCGTCAGGTAGGCGTAACTGGGCGGTCACGGGCGTCACCATCTTCATGATTTTGAATGGGCCACAGAAACGTGGTCGTAATTTCGTCGGTAGTGGCAGTCGTAAATTCTTGGTGTCCAAAAGGACTAGTTGCCCTGCAGTCATCGTAATATCCCGTCGATGTACATCCGCATACCGTCGGGCAGTAGCATTCGTCTTGCGAATAAGTTCGACAGCTTTGTCTCGGGCAGTCTGTAGTTCTTCGACGAACTGCTGCGACCGTGGTACTTGACTCTCGACATTGGTGGAGACAGGTACTGTGGGGTCCATCGTAATTGAGGTAAAACGGGGAGTGATTAGTCGTGGCTGAGGGAGCGTTGTTGTAGGAGAATTCCAACATGGGAAGCGCATCCCCCATTTGTTTCAGTCGGGGCAGTTTGTCCGAATCAGCTGCTCTATCGTTTGGTTTGTCCTTTCTGTCTGGCCGTCCGTTTGGGGATAATAAGCGGATGAGAACTGCAGGCGCGTGCCATACTGAGCCCACGTGTCATGCCAAAATTTCGACGTGAACTTCGGATCTAAACCGCTAATGATTGCTGCTGGTATCCCATGTAGGCGAACAACGGTCGAGATGAACAGGCGTACGGTTTCTTCGGCTGTGATGGTTGTACGACATGGTGCAAAATGCGTCATTTTCATCAATCGGTCAACGACGACCAATACTGCGTCGTTTCCGTTGGATCCGGCCGGTAGACCTGTGACGAAATCCATCGTCACGTGTTGCCATGGGCGTTGAGGTGGCTCTAGGGGCTGCAACAGTCCTGTCGGTCGCTGATGTGATGATTTCATTCGCTAGCAGATCGGACACGCGGCCACGTAACGTTGCACGTTCGTCACCATATCTGGCTAGTAATAAAACCGCAGCAACGCCTTCAGAGTTTTATCAACCACGAAATGTACCGATAAATTTGAATCGTGGACTTCTTGAATTAGTAATTCGCGAAGTAGACGATAACTTGGGACCCAAATTCGATCCGTCCCGCTTCGTAAGTAATAGACGCCTTTCCGTGTAGTAAGTTGGAGATGGCCGTCATTTACGAAGAAGGGGTCGGTCGAATACCCGTGGGTAAATAGTCCACTTAGTAGCGGGTTGCTTTGGGCGACTAATATTGCTGCGAGTTGGGCAGACGGTCTGGAGAGGGCATCAGCAATATTGTTGGCGCCCTTTTTGTACGTGAACTTGTACGTGAAGTTGGACTCCAGATAGTCCAGCCAGCGTATCTGCCGCGGGTTGAGATTCGGCTACGCTCGCAGGTACTATAGAGATTTGTGATCGGTTCGCACCGTTACGTCCGCTCCAGTCAGGTAGCACCTCCACATTTTGAACGCGTAGACAATCGCCAGCATCTCCTTGTAGTGTACCGGGTAGTTGCGCTCAGCAGATTGCATTTTTCGAGACTCGTACGCGATTGGTTGAAGCCCATTGCCGAAATCTTGCATGAGCACTGCTCCGATGGCGATGTCACTTGCGTCGGTGATGACTTCGAAGGGCCGTTCCGAGTCAGCGATGCGAAGTACCGGTGGCGACATTAAAAGAGTTTTTAATGCCTCGAACGCAGCTTGCTGCTTATCCCCTCACTCGTAAAAAGTCCCCTTCTGCAGTAGGTCGGTTAGAGGTCCAGTTAACCCCGCCATGTTGGGTATTAACCGCCGCACGTAATTCACAAAACCCAGAAATGATTGCAGCTGCTGCATATTTGTGGGCGGTTTCCACTCCTGAATAGCCCAGAGTTTTTTCGGGTCTATTTGGATCCCCTCCGTGGAGATCACGTGCCCCAGGAACTCCAGCTCTTGTTTTAAAAACTCGCACTTTGAGCCCTTGGTGATGAGACGATGCTGATGCAGCCACTGAAAAACCGCTTCCAAGTCCTTTAAATGTTGCTCCCGGGTCTTGCTGTGAATTAGGATGTCGTCCAGGTAAATTATCACACATTTGTCAAGTGGATCGCGGAACACCCCGTTCATGGTGAGTTGGAACGTCGAGGGGGCGTTCGTTAATCCAAACGGCATCACCGTGTACTTGTAACTCCCGTAGCGATTACGAAACGCGGTCTTGTGGCAGTCGTCAGCGAACACCCGAATTTGATGGTAACCGCCACGAAGGTCGATCTTCGAAAAGTAGCGAGCTCCGCGAAGGTTGTCAATCAGCTCGTCCGTCCGTGGGATTGGGTAGCGCGATTTTATCGTTACCCGATTAAGGGCACGATAGTCCGTACACATGCGAAGTCCGCCGTCCTTCTTTGGGGTGAACAGGATCGGTGCTTCGAACGGGGATGTGCTCGGCCGAATAAACCCTTTTGCCAGTAGGTAGTCCAACTGGTTCCGTAATTCGTATAGCTCCGGCTGAGTCAGGCGCCATTGAGTTCGTACAGTAGGCTGCGCGCCGGGCTCCAGCTCGATTTTGTGGTCCTGGGGTCGTTCGGGTGGCAATCCACTTTGCAAGTCGTCCGGGAAAATCTCGGGATATTCCCGAATGATTTTTGCCAAGTCATCCAAGACCGAAGCGCATAGTTTGTTGATGTCGGTCACCTCGTTCTGCTCCATTGATTGGGTTAGATGGACGTTGTATAAATCCGCTCCATTCTTGACCGCTCGCTTGAGGCACACAGCGTTGACTCGTGTCGAGGTTGTCTCTGCTTCCGGCCACGTGGGTAATTTTTGCCAGCCTTTTCGCACTTCACTGTGCACTCGCCTGTCGTCCAATCGATATGCGGATTGAATCTTCGCAGCCAATCGCGTCCCAATAGCACATCGTAGCCATCGAGTGTTGTCACCAGCATCGGCGCGCTGAAGCCGAAATCTTCGCCACACTTCATTCGAACGACGGGTACTTTGTCGCGCATCGCCAGCGAGGTGCCATCCATTAGTCGCACGTCGATTTCGGGCAGACACCTGTCCAGCGACAGGTGTAGTCGTCGTGCTGTCTCTCGATTTATCAGGCTGTGATTCGCACCTCCGTCGATGCTTTTTTTTTTTTTTCTTTTTTTTTCTTTTTTTTTGCTTCCATTGAGTTGTCCCTCCGCCAGCACAAGGTGGTCCATTGGTTCATCCCCCTTATTCAACCGGGAGCGGTTGATAGCGTGTATCGGCACCACTACTCGGTGGGGATGGTGTTTTTCGGGCGATGAGGCAGGGTTAGTAGGGGGCCCGACCACTATTGACGCTTGACGTTTCCCGACCTGCCTTCGACGTTCTTCTTTATCTGCTTCTTTCGGGGGCAATCATGAGATTGGTGACTCGGCTAGTGGCAGTTGAAACATTGTCCCTTGCGAAAATCTTCCATGTGCTCCCTCGCCACTACGCCATGAATCGTGGGCCGTGGATCCTGGCCACGAAAACGATTTCCCTCCCGGGAACCCGCTCTCGCATACGTCCGATGTGCGTCGAAAGTGTCTGCGATCCGGACTGCTTCATGAAACGTCGCCGGTAGTCGCATGCGGACCTCGCATTTAATGTCATGTTTCAAGCCCAAAATGAATCGAGCTTTCTTCTCGGAGTCATGCATGTCGGTGATTTGATCGCATAACGCCATGAAGACCGATACGTAATCTTAGACGGAACTCCACTGACGCCAGTTGTCCAGCTTCGTGCGTGCGTTGTCCGAGGCGGATATAGGCTCGAACCGTTCGCGCAAAGCTGTACCCCACGCCTTCCACGTGCGAATCTTGGTCGATCCGAAAATCGCGGTTGACCCTTGGGCCGCAGACCCAAAGTTTCCGAAAAAACCCAGTGTGTCGCCTGCCGAAAACTCCCCCTCCTGTAGTGTATATCGCCACCAATCTAGCGCAGGTCCCCGCAGTAGTGATACAGCCAGCCGAATTTTTAAATCGTCAGCAGTGATCCCAGCGGCATTAAAATAAAGTTCCGCTGAAAATAACCAGCCTGTAACAGTAGTTTTCTTATCTGTGGGGTTGTACGGGAGCGGCATTTTTCGGTTTGATCGTCGATGTCGTCACGATCGGCACAAATGCCGGTGCGGCTATAGTAGCGGCTGCTTCTGACCGAGCGGCTGCTGCTGTCGTTGCTGCTGCTGCTGCTTCGGCTGCTGCTCGTGCTGCCACGTTAACTACTGCGGCGGCTTCACTGCCCTTGCGCTCCTGCAACACCTCACGTGCGATTTTGTCCAAAACGCTTTCGACACGTCAGGTGCTGGCTACCTCCTCTTGGGCGGCAATTTTCTGGCTCGAATCCTCTCGCGCCTGGCGTAACTCGGCAACTTTTGCACGAAGTTGCTCGTTGTCCTCCAGCACTGTAGCCATGCGTCTCTTCATGGCGTTGAAATGCTCCCGAAGCTCGTTGAACTTAGCTTGGTCCATTTGGCGAATGCTCCGCCGGGGCAGGGGGAAATCTGTAGTGTGCCTGTTCTCAGGTAAGCGCAAACGCTATCGTGGTTGGGCGAATTAATCAATCTAATTTGTGAGCAGCCGCTTCGCAGCTTACGTCAGGGACTTACCCTCCAAAAAAAAAATCAACTCACGAAAACGGGTGAGCGAGGAAAGTGGCTCTGAATACCAGGTGTTATGAATGAACAAGCAGAGTAGCGCGGAAATGAATAACGAAGTGTTCAATCACTGAATGACGATACAAGGAATGACAAGCCAAGATATAGGAACACCAGAACTAATCTAACCATGAGATGGGAAGGTTCGGGAAAGAGATCGATGTTAAATTATATAAGTTATTATATGAGTGTAGGCTTGGTAGATGTTACTGAACATTACTGTAAAGGGTACAACACCCCTCCTTGTATCCCTCTCTCTTCTTTCCTAATCCTCTTTTCTCTCGACATTCTCGCCTTCCTCCTAGATCTAGATCTCACGCCATATTCATGGCTTCACCTATTCCTACCTAGCCTAACTTCAAGACATGGTTTCAGAGCAGGACGCCCTTCCCGGGCCTGCTCTCCACCCTTCCGTCGCGTACTTGTCCTTACCGTGCCGCTGTCGCGGCCTTCTGTCCGTTTGCCGCCGTCGCGGCCTTCTGCCTGTTCGCCGCCGTCGCGGCCTTCCTACTGCCTGCCGCCGTGGCACCGTTTCCAAGACGCCGCGGCGGCCCCTGCGTGCTGTCGGCCCAGCGTCGACGAGCAGTTGCGGCGACGACGCCACGGTATGGTGGCGCCGTCGTGGTGCCGTGGCTGCGACGTCGGTCTGTTGCCGTCGCTGCTGGAAATGCAGCCCACCCGCTCGCCAGTAAGCGCCGCGCCAGCAATGGCGCCGCGCTGAAGATCTGAAGCCCCGCCCTTTCCCCCTTTCCTCTATCCCCTCCTCTTTGCCACAGCCGCCTTGAGACTCTCGCCGGTCGTTCCCCTGGTGCGGAGTTTGGACACGCCGCCGGAAGGGCGGGGGCCGCTGCCGTCACCGACGTCGTAAGCCGAAGCCGTCGCCGTCGCCGCTGTCGTCGCCGTAGGCATGTTGCCGTCGCACGTCCGTCGTCGCCGTCGCTGTCGCCGCTGCCAGGACTGCCGCCGACGCCATCTCCAAGGCCTTGGGGTTGGCCCTGTTGGAGTCTTCGTGGCTGATGGGAATGGGGGTGCTAGGTTAGGGGGTGTGGGGGTGTGTGGGTCCTACTATCAAGCCTAGGGGGTGTGTTAAATTTTATAAGTTATTATATAAGTGTAGGCTTGATAGATGTTACTAAATATTACTGTAAAGGGTGCAACACCCCTCCTTGTATCCCTCTCTCTTCTTTCCTTGTCCTCTTTTCTCTCGACATTCTTGCCTTCCTCCTAGATCTAGATCTCACGCCATATTCATGGCTTCACCTATTCCTACCTAGCCTAACTTCAAGACAATCGAAGGGTCTCGAAGTGGCGAAGCGAGGCCCGGAGTGTTAAAGCCTGAACTAGAAAGAACAGAGGAGGCCGCCATGAAATGGCGGCCAAGGGTTTAGCTAGGAGCTGGACGAGAGTGTCGAGAGAGAAGAGAGATAGACTAGAAGAGAATGAAGTACAAGAAGGGGGTTGTCCCCCCTACAGTAGGATGCAGTTAGTAGCATAACTACCAAGCCTACAATTATATAAAAATATAATTTGAACACACCCCCTAGGCTTGGTAGTGGCAAACCCACACAACCCACACACACACCCCCTAACCCCGGACACCCTCATTCTCGTGAGCAGCCGGGTATCGACCCCTCGTGCTAGGCTATGACACCCCCGGTCGAGAGGCAGCTGGCCGCATCTGGGCGGCCTCAATGACGACAGCGGCGGAGCTCGTGCTCAAGGCGGCTGTGTCGATGAGGACAGGCGGCGACTGCGGCGGCTGAGGGCTCTCGGCGGTGTGGCATGGGCTGGCGACGACCGGGCCGAAGACAGCAGCTACGGCAGGAGCAGGAGGAGATGCAGGGGAGGGAGAGGTGGTGGGGCTGCTGTGGTGGGGCTGCAGGACTTCAGCGCGGCGCCATAGGCGCGGCGCTTACTGGAGGGAGGAGCAGGCGGGACGGGGCCCAGGAGGGGCGCGACTGGGCTAGGAGGCACGGCAGGGCCCAGGAGGGGCGCGACTGGGCTAGGAGGCACGGCAGGGCCCAGGAGGGGCGCGACTGGGCTAGGAGGCACGGCAGGGCCCAGGAGGGGCGCGACGTGGGTAGGAGGCACGGCAGGGCCCAGGAGGGGCGCGACGGGGAGGTGGAACGGCGTAGCCGCCACGTCAGGGCGGCAAGCCCAGCACGGCTGCTCGACGTGGCAGCCATGCGACATGGCCGCCACGGCGGCACGGCAGGAGCGACGAACGCACGAGAACGCAGCGGAAAGCACGGAGGGGAGCAGGCCCAGGAAGGGCATCCCGCTCTCGATACCATGTTAAAGCCTGAACTAGAAAGAACACAGGAGGCCGCCATGAAATGGCGGCCAAGGGTTTAGCTAGGAGCTGGACGAGAGTGTCGAGAGAGAAGAGAGATAGACTAGAAGAGAATGAAGTACAAGAAGGGGGTTGTCCCCCCTACAGTAGGATGCAGTTAGTAGCATAACTACCAAGCCTACAATTATATAAAAATATAATTTGAACACACCCCCTAGGCTTGGTAGTGGCAAACCCACACAACCCACACACACACCCCCTAACCCCGGACACCCTCATTCTCGTGAGCAGCCGGGTATCGACCCCTCGTGCTAGGCTATGACACCCCCGGTCGAGAGGCAGCTGGCCGCATCTGGGCGGCCTCAATGACGACAGCGGCGGAGCTCGTGCTCAAGGCGGCTGTGTCGATGAGGACAGGCGGCGACTGCGGCGGCTGAGGGCTCTCGGCGGTGTGGCATGGGCTGGCGACGACCGGGCCGAAGACAGCAGCTACGGCAGGAGCAGGAGGAGATGCAGGGGAGGGAGAGGTGGTGGGGCTGCTGTGGTGGGGCTGCAGGACTTCAGCGCGGCGCCATAGGCGCGGCGCTTACTGGAGGGAGGAGCAGGCGGGACGGGGCCCAGGAGGGGCGCGACTGGGCTAGGAGGCACGGCAGGGCCCAGGAGGGGCGCGACTGGGCTAGGAGGCACGGCAGGGCCCAGGAGGGGCGCGACTGGGCTAGGAGGCACGGCAGGGCCCAGGAGGGGCGCGACGTGGGTAGGAGGCACGGCAGGGCCCAGGAGGGGCGCGACGGGGAGGTGGAACGGCGTAGCCGCCACGTCAGGGCGGCAAGCCCAGCACGGCTGCTCGACGTGGCAGCCATGCGACATGGCCGCCACGGCGGCACGGCAGGAGCGACGAACGCACAAGAACGCAGCGGAAAGCACGGAGGGGAGCAGGCCCAGGAAGGGCATCCCGCTCTCGATACCATGTTAAAGCCTGAACTAGAAAGAACAGAGGAGGCCGCCATGAAATGGCGGCCAAGGGTTTAGCTAGGAGCTGGACGAGAGTGTCGAGAGAGAAGAGAGATAGACTAGAAGAGAATGAAGTACAAGAAGGGGGTTGTCCCCCCTACAGTAGGATGCAGTTAGTAGCATAACTACCAAGCCTACAATTATATAAAAATATAATTTGAACACGGAGAACTCCCGAAGATCGAACTAGAAGGTCTGGAGAAGCCGAGGCGGTTCTGTCAGAAAGGTCCGGAACTGTCCCGAGGCTTCGGGTGTGTTCGAGAGTACGTGATAGCAGTACCGCTCGGTAAGGAATGGAAAATTCCTTACAACATCGAAATAATACAATTTATAAGTTCCCTTTACGTTTACGAGAAAACTTTCTTGTACCAGATTATAATATGTACGTATCAGAGCTCATAATAATCATTCATTTTGGTTGAATAGTGCGTATATTGCTATTCAATTTGAGTACATAGGTTTTGAACAAGCTGACCCGGTGGTTCCTTGTGAAGGATCTTTACGATATGTAATTTGAGGAGCATGCGAGAACTAATCGGAGCTTTCCACCTGATTCGCTAAGACAGCGAGCAGCCATGGCTTCAGTTTATTCACCCTCCACGTGGACCAAAGTTGCCGCGGTTTCAGGTAAAACTCTCTCGCCCGAAACGCCCGTTGATTGGTCAATTTTCGCCTACAGCTGATACAGTAAGGAGCCGCGTCCGACGCCGCTAATAGTCGTCCTCCACCCCGGTGCGCATTCCTTTTGACTAAAGAACGCGTCCGACGCCGGTCATAGTCGTCCTCCGTGGCGGTGAGCTCCTTCCTTCTGCCTCGTTCCCTCCCATCCCCTCCCCCTCCCCCCCATTCTCCCCCCCCGCCTAATGCGCAGGTGCAGCGGCGGTGGGTCTAGGCGCGTACGGAGCGCACGCGTTCAAACCGGAAAACCCCGTCTATAAGGAGGTGACCCCCGCGCTTTCCCCCGAGAAGACGATATCTTAGCATCTGAGACGGTCGTCCTGTGGTTCTGTTTGTTTGGTTTTCCCTGTTGTTTTTTTTTACCTCGGTGTCCGCGTTATAATGTCTTACCAGGTGTGGCGGACTGGGAATCTCTACCACCTAGTGCACTCGGCTGCTCTCCTCGCGTTTCCTCTAGTCAAAATTGCATGCTTTCTTCCTGTCCGCGTTATAATGCTCTTCCAGGTGTGGCGGACAGGGAATCTCTACCACCTCGTGCACTCGGCTGCTCTCCTTGCGTCTCCTCTAGTCAAGCGACCCGACCTCGTAAGCTCAATACAATCCAGAATGTACTTTAGATCCTTCAAGTAGAATTTTCTATAATCTACGGACGGGCTTCTTTGAGCTCAATTTTAATATATCCCTTGCCGTGTCTGCTCCTTCCTTCTCCTCTTCCCCCCCCCCCCCCTCCCCCCAATCACTCCAACACTCACCCTTCGCCCCTCGCCCCTCGCCCTTCCCCTTCCCCCTCTCCTTCCTCATGCACAGTATGGCAGCCTTCTCACCTTTGGGATCGTTGCTTTCTCTGGCAGGTGAGAATCAGCTGCAGCCAAGCACGCCCATGCTGCATGCCACTTGCCATGTTCCCATGCATGCACCTGCCAAGCACGGCCATGCCGCATGCCACGTGCCATGTTCCCATGCATGCACCTGCCAAGCACGCCCATGCCGCATGCCACGTGCCATGTTCCCATGCATGCACCTGCCAAGCACGCCTTTTTCACATACCACATGCCATGTTCCCATGCACATGCCAGGCACACCCATTCCACATGCCATGTTCCCATGCTCAACTAGTCATGTGGCTTTCCTGTGGCATGCCAGATTTCACATGTCACAAGACAAGGCGTACTTTCATGCCCCATCTGGCATGCTGGATCATCCAAACCTCATGACCTATACGTCAGGAATCAAGCCTCATGGCCCAAGCCTCATGACAAGAGCCTATGACCCGAACCTCATGACCCAAGCCTCATAAACCACAAAACCAGCTGTTCCTTACCAGCTGTCCCCTCCCCATCCCCTCCCCTCTTCCCCCCCCCCCCCCCTTGATCAGCTGTTACCTGTCAGCAGCATTTGAGAACAGGGCTCTGGGTGTTGGGGCCCCCTTTGGGGGATTCGCTTTCATTGGAGCCTGGCTTTCGGCAGCCTTTTGATTGGCCCTCTTCCGCCTCGAATTTGGCTCGCTGATAATGTATTCAGTGTTTGTGTGTAACTTGTGTACGTACAGAGTTACATGCTGTAAATATGCCATGAAATAAATGCTTTTTCCAAATCATATGCTCCACTGTGAAGCCAATGGCACCAGCAGGCACAGTATGACACGCATTCTACATTACAAATCACAAATCATGGCATATGCATTGTATCGGCCCTCTTTATGCCAATAGGTACCGTAACAATGTCGGAGTATAGCATGTGGTCATGCCACTGCCAGTACATTGTCCTGGCCTTACAACCCTTGCCTTATGACCCCTCAAATACGCCACAGCTTCATGTCAACTTATACATATTATCTATGTAGAAGTTATAGGCTAGACTGAGGTATGCTTCTAGTGAGTACAACCAACTAGTATTTGTTCTAGGTTTCCACCTCTAGTAATCATTCGTTTCTACGTTAACATGGTATCACGCTTAGGTTAGGATCCCCCCGCCTACCGCTTCCGCCCGTCGCGCCTCCTAGGCCCCGTCGCGCCCCCTAGGCCCCGTCGCGCCCCCCCTGGGCCCCGTCGCGCTCGTTAGGCCCCGTCGCGCCCCCCCTGGGCCCCGTCGTGCCCGCTGGGCCCCGTCGCGCCTCCTAGGCCCCGTCGCGCTCCCCCTGGGCCCCGTCGCGCCTGCTGGGCCCCGTCGCGACCCCTAGGCCCTAACGCGCCCCCGCTGGGCCCCGTTGCGCCTCCTAGGCCCCGTTGCGCCCCCCATGGGCCCCGTCGAGCCCGCTGAGCCCCGTCGTGCCTCCTAGGCATCGTCGCGCCTCCTAAGCCCCGTCGCGTCCCCCCCCCTCTGGGCCCCGTCGCGCCCGTTCGGCCCCGTCGCGCCCCTCCTAGGCCCTGTCGTGCCCGCTGGGCCCCGTCGCGCCTCCTAGGCCCCGTCGCACCCGCTGGGCCCCTTCGCGCTTCCTAGGCCCCGTCGCGCCTGCTAGGCCCCGTCGCGCCCCCCCTGGGCTCCGTCGCGCCCGTTAGGCCCCGTCGCGGCCCCCCTGGGCCCCGTCGTGCCCGCTGGTCCCCGTCGCGCCTCCTCGGCCCCGTCGCGCCCCCCCTGGGCCCCGTCGTGCCCGCTGGGCCCCGTCGCGCCCCTTAGGCCTCGTCGCGCCCGCTGGCCCCTGTCGCGCCTGCTGTTAGCGCTCGCCTGCCTGGCCTCCTAGTGCCGCTCGGCCTCCTCCTAGTGCCGCCCGGCCCCTTCCTAGCGCCGCCCGGCCTCTCCTCAGCGCTGCCCGGCCCCTCCTCGTGCCCGACCGGCCCCAGCAGCACCAGCCTGGCCCCTCCCAGCACCAGCCCGGCCCCAGAGCACCTGCCCGCCTCCCCTGCTCGGCCTGCCGTGTCCTCTCGGGCCCTGTGTCTTCTGCTCGCCTGCGCTGGGACGCCTAGCTGCTGCCCTACTGGAGAGTGCTGCCGCCGTGTCCCCGCGCCGCTGTGCTCCTGTGCCGCTGAGGAGCTGTGCTGCTGTGCCGCTGTGTCGCTGAGGAGCTGTGCCGCTGACCCTGCACGATGGCTGACTTTGTGCTCCGCCTGGACGCTGAGGGCCACGCGGTTGACTTCGCCGCCTGGCTCTCCGATCTCCGCCGCCAGCTTACAGGTCAGCGCCAGGATGGCCACTCTCTGGTTGTCCATGCTGATGGCTTGCTCCCCCGTCCCCCTGCACCTACTCCCCTCCCTGCTGACCCCTCCTCTGATGACCGTGAGGCTTTCTCTACTGCTGCGCTGGCCTGTGCGGTCTGGGACTCACGCGATGCAGTAGCTCAGGTTGCTATTAGTCACGCCCTCCCTGTGTCTGAGCGCTCGCGTTTTGCTACTGTTGAAACGGCCAAAGCTTATTTAGACGCCGTTATTGCTCGCTATTCCACCCCTGCCTCCGCTTCTGCTGGCCGCTTGCTCTTTCCGATGCTGTTCCCAGACCTGGCTGCCTTCCCTACTGTCGCAGACTTTGCCACTCATTTGCGTGCCCTAGAGACTCGCTATCGCACTGCCAGCACTGCTGCCCAGCTCACTGCGCTCCCCCCTCCTTTCTGCATGACGCTCTATTTTATCGCTATGCGCCTGCCAGACCGCCTCGCTAGTGCTCGCGACCACTTTCTTAGCCAGCACCCGGGTGACCTCACCCTGACCGCCTTTGTCGACACCCTCACTGAGATCGAGACTCGCCAGCGCACTATCGCTCAGTCGAGCGGTGCGCCGGCAGTCTCTATCTTTCACGGCTGTGCCCCATCCCAGTGCACGTTCATTGACGTTTCGGCTGCGGTCGCCACGGCGACCCCTCTTACCGAGACGGCTGCTGCTGTCCACCCGCAGCAGCGCTCGCGTCGCGGTGGCCGTGGCCGCCAGGGAGGTAGGGGTGGTGACGCAGGTGGTAGTGGTCGTGGTGGTTGTGACGGTAGTCCGCCTGAGGGGACTACCACCGGTGGGCAGGAGCAGCAGCCCCAGCAGCAGCAGGACCAGCCCCAGCCGCAGCCGCCGTCCCAGCAGCACCCGCCGCAGCCGTGGGCTCGTCTCCCGCCTGGTTGGCCCGGCACCTCCGGAGGCGGTGGCCGTGGTGGCGGCCCGCGCAGCTTGGCGTCTACCAGCGGCTCCAGTGCTGTGACCTGCCAGTACCAGCTTCAGACCGGGCCTCTCCGCGGCACTCTGTGCCGCCGCCCGCACCCGACCGCCCGCTGTTTCCGCCGCCTCGACGATCTTTTTCGTCGTTGCTTTGGCCCGGCCCCGGACCTCCCTGACTGGCACAGCCTACTCCGCCAGGGCGTGCCGATCTTTGAGTTAGACATGGATCAGATAGGTGCTGCTTTGCATGCTTTGTATGCTGACGCTTCTAGTGTTGCTGGATCTTACTACCCTGTGTACTCTAGTTTAGGTGTTTCACCCTTGTGTAGCTTAGCTTCCCCTGCTGCGACAGGCGTAGGACTACCTAGGTTGCCTAGTCTAGTCGCTGCACCGGCTCCGTCCCCGGCCTCCGCCACTGCGTCGCTGTCCTTCACTCTCGACTCTGGTGCTTCTGCCTGCTTCTTCCGCGACCGTTCCACGCTCACGCCGCTTGCTGCACCTGCTGTTGTCTCTCTCGCTGACCCCTCTGCGGGTCCGGTCGTCGCGCGCAGCTCTACGTCCCTTCCTTGTCCGGCAGTTCCCTCGGGCTCCCTTACTGGCCTCCACGTTCCCTCGTTCTCCAGGAACCTGGTTGGTGTCGGCTGTCTCCAGGACCTCGGCGTCACCACCACGTTCCCCGGGCACGAGCGGTTCGCTGTCTGTTCTGAGGCTGTCTCAGGTTCCCCCCTTGCGACGTTCCCCCGGGACCCGGTGTCCGGTCTGTTTACCCTACACACCGCTTCCCCCCCGGTTGGTGCGTCCTCCCAGGTCGCTGCAGCTTGCTCGTGTCGGTCCCTCACTCACCCCTCCCTTCTCTGGCACCACCGCTTAGGTCACCCTGCTCTCCCGCGTCTGCGTCACATGTCCCAGCACGGTCTTGTCTTAGGTCTCCCCGCGTCGCTCCCTGCCCTTCCTCCCTCGACTGCGCCACCGTGCACGCCTTGCGTCGAGGGTCGGCTCCGCCGTGCTCCTCACTCCTCCTCGCTGCGTCCTGCTACTGCCCCCCTTCAGACCCTGCACTTGGACGTTTGGGGCCCTGCCCCCGTCCCCGGACCGCGCGGTGAGCGCTACTTCCTTGTGCTCGTTGACGACTACACGCGCTACACCACGGTGTTTCCCCTGGAGCGGAAGGCCGACGTGCCCGACGTTCTTCTCCCGTGGGTTGTAGCTGCGCGTCTCCACCGCGGTCTCCCCGTGTTGTGTCTCCACTCCGACCGTGGCGGCGAGTTCGCCTCTGGTCGGCTTGGACAGTTCTGTCGTGCGGAGGGCATCACCCAGTCGTACACGTTGCCGGACTCGCCACAGCAGAATGGGGTTGCTGAGCGCCGCATCGGCTTGGTCATGGAGGTCGCCCGTACCTCCATGATCCATGCCGATGCCCCCCATTTTCTGTGGCCGTTCGCTGTTCGCTACGCGGCTCACCAGCTTAACCTGTGGCCACGCTCCCAGCGGCCGCAGGTTTCGCCGACCCTCCTTTGGACCGGGTCCCCCGGTGACGCGTCTGCGTTCCACGTATGGGGCTGCCTTGCTCACGTTCGTGCCTCTGGCACGGACAAGCTCACTGCCCGCACTGTCCCCTGTGTCTTCCTCGGTTTCCCCCTGGACTCGTCTGACTGGCTTTTCTACCACCCGCCGTCTCACCGCTTCCTCCACTCTCGTGACGTCACCTTTGACGAGTCCGTCTCCTTCTACCGCCGCTTCCCTCACCGAGGTCTCCCAGTTGCCCCCCCCTTTTCCTTGCTCCCTCTCCCCCGGTAGCCCCTGCCCCTCTCCCGCCTCGTCCTGCCCCGTCTGGTGTCTCCCACGTCACTCCCCTCCCGTCGGTTGTCCCCGTTGAGGAGTCTGCTGACTCTGGTGGTACCCCCGGTCCGTCCTTGCAGCGTCCCCCTTCCCCGGTGCCTCCGCCCCCACTGTCGCAGTCGCCGACCCCGCTGCCGCCGCCGTCGCCGTCGCCGCCGCAGCCGTCGCCGCTGTCGTCGCCGCCGCCGCCGCTGTCGCTGCCGCCGCTGTCGCCGCCGCCGCAGCCGTTGCCGCCACTGCCGCCGCTGCTCTCGGCCCCTGGGGGTGCTGGTGTGGAGGAGGGTGTTCGTCCTGCGGCTTCTGGGGGTGCCGCTGGTGTTGGAGGGGGTTCTCGCTCTGGGGGTGCTGGTTCTGGGGGTGCTGCTGTTGAGTGTTCTGCCGACGGTCGTTCTGCCTCTGCTGGTCCGAGAGTTCCGGCCCAGCCGTCGTCGCCGCCGCAGCAGCCGTCGCCGCCGGTTTCCGCTCTCCGCCTGCTCGGCCTTCCCTCCCCGGACCGCGCGCCGGTGTCTCCCCCACCGCCTCCTGACCTTCCTGTCTACGGTCCTGTGTTCCCGCCGCCAGACTCGTCTCCGGCCCGTCTTCCTCCTCGTTCCCCTCCTGTGTCTCCTCCGCTGTCCCCTGACCCTACCCCTCCGTCTCACGTTTGGGCTCGCCGTCCCTCCCGTGCTCGTCCCGTCTCTCCTGTCCTGCCCACCCACCCTATGTTGCTCCGTTCCCACTCGTCTCGTCCTCCCCTCCTCCCGTCCCCTCCTCCCTCGTCCCTTGCTGTTGCACCTCCTCCGTTCTCTGACTACCTCCGTGCTGCTCGTCCCCTTGTCCCTCGGGTCCTTGCCTCTCTTGTTACCGACCCTGCTGTTCCTGTCTCGCGCCTTGACGCGCTTGTCGCTGCTGTCGCTGACTTCGCCTCTACCCGCCGCCTTGACTACGCTACCGCTCTGGTCTCTGACCCTGCCCGTCCTCTGTCCGTCGGGGGTGCTCCTGCCCTTGGCAGTGACGTCCTAGAGGACAGGCAGTACGAGCTGGCTTTCCTTTCCGAGGCTGCTCCCCATCTCTGCTCCATGCTGTTAGTCCCTGAGGGTGACCCAGACGCCTTCGACATCCCGACCCCTCGCACCTACGCTGAGGCCACCTCGGGACCTTGGGCCTCTCAGTGGATAGCTGCCATGGAGCAGGAGATGGCATCTTGGAGATCCACCGGCACATACGTCGACGCAGTTCCCCCGCCTGGGGTGAACGTAGTCGATGGTCGGTGGCTCTTCAAGGTGAAGCGCCCCCCTGGAGAGCCGCCTGTCTTCAAGGCGCGCTACGTGGCCAGAGGTTTCAGTCAGCGCGAGGGGGTTGACTTCTTCCAGACCTTCGCCCCGACCCCGAAGATGACCACTCTTCGGGCGCTGCTACACGTAGCAGCACAGCGTGACTACGAGCTTCACTCCCTCGACTTCTCTACTGCCTTTCTTCAGGGCAGCCTACACGAGCAGGTCTACCTGCGCCGACCACAGGGCTTCACTGGTACCTTCCCTCCTGGGACCCAGTGGCTTCTCAGGCGCCCGGTCTACGGCCTGCGTCAGGCTCCCCGCGAGTGGCACGACACGCTACGTGCCACGTTAGCAGACCTGCAGTTCTTTCCGTCCTCTGCTGACCCTTCACTGTTTGTGCGTTCCGGCCAGACTCCGTTCTACATCCTTGTCTACGTAGACGACCTGGTCTTCGCTACTCCTGACAGGGACGCACTGGCCTCTGTGAAGGCTGAGCTGCTGAAGAGACACACCTGCACTGACCTTGGAGAGCTGCGTCGCTATCTTGGCCTGCAGATCTCTAGGGACAGAGCAGCACGCACCATCACTCTGACCCAGTCACACTTGGTGCGTCAGGTCCTTCAGAGGTTCGGTCTTCAGTTCTCCTCTGCACAGCCCACACCTCTACCCGTAGACCATGGGCTCTCTGCTCCCGTTCCTGAGGAGCCAGTAGAGCCCAGTGGCCCCTACGCAGAGCTGGTGGGTTGCCTCATGTACCTGATGACTTGCACTCGCCCAGATCTCGCATACCCTCTCAGCATCCTGGCTCGCTTTGTGGCTACAGGCAGACACCGACCTCAGCACTGGTCTGCCGCTAAGAGGGTTTTGCGTTATCTTGCTAGTACATCAGGCATGGGGTTAGTGCTAGGAGGACGCAGGCCAGTGGTCCTTACTGGGCACACAGACGCTTCTTGGGCAGACGACGCTGAGACGCTCAGGTCGTCGCAGGGCTACTGTTTCAGCCTTGGTTCGGGTGCTATCTCTTGGAGATCCACTCGCTCGTCGTCTGTGGCTCAGTCTAGCTGTGAGGCTGAGATCTACGCTGGTGCCATGGCGGCACAGGAGCTCCGCTGGCTGACCTTCTTGCTCACAGACTTAGGTGAGCGGCCTAGCTCTGCCCCGGTCCTGTACGCTGACAACAGGGCCATGATACTCCTGTGTCAGGAGCCTCGGCTTGAGGGCAGAGCGAAGCATATCCAGCTGCGGTACTTCCTCCTGCGCGAGCTACAGCAGCGCCGCCAGGCCCGCGTAGTTCACTTGGCCTCAGGTGCCAACACAGCTGATATCTTTACTAAGGCGCTTGCGCCTAAAGATCATCAGCGGCACTGTGTACAGCTTGGTCTTGTTCCTGTAGCTGCTCCCCTGTTAGGATCCTGATTGTGTACTCTCTATTATATATGCTTGTCAGACTGGCCTTGTGGCCTTACCTCCAGTGGTTGGACTAGTAGTGCCACCCTGGCTTGCTTCAGTTTTGGTTGTATTCTTGCTGACTGGTCTCCAGACCCCTGCCTCAGTGGTTGGACTAGTAGTGCCGTCCTGAGCTGTTTGCTTCTTGTTTAGTTTCACCCTTGTCTAGCCTAGGGGTGTGTCAACTTATACATATTATCTATGTAGAAGTTATAGGCTAGACTGAGGTATGCTTCTAGTGAGTACAACCAACTAGTATTTGTTCTAGGTTTCCACCTCTAGTAATCATTCGTTTCTACGTTAACAGTCCCCGAAGGCATACTGACAGCTCAGGGCTGGTACACGAACACTTTACTGAATCCTCAGGGTTGCACTACGATTTAAAACTGAATTCACAGGGTGAAAAATGAGCTTAAACGGATTTTTCAGGTTTGGCACCTAACAGGCATCCTGAAAATCAGGAATTCAGGATAAAACATCCTGATATCTGAGGCCCTGCTCCAGTGCCAGACTATTTAGGAGAGGATTGGAATGAGGAGGAGGAGGAGGGGGAGAGGGATGGTGGAGGTGCAGTAGCTATTGAAGACAACCCCTTTCTGTCGGATGATGAGGCGGAGGATGTTGTCGCTGTGGATGTGCCAGAGTTCTAGCTAGGCTAGGAAATTAGACTAGGTGTAGGTTAACTGCCCGAATGTTATAAAATAATGGCGACTAAATGGTAAAATCACGACTCTGATTCATACTTGCGAACCCTGAAGAAATCAGACTTGAGAGTCACTAGATCCTGAGAAATCAGACTACCATGAAATCTGAAACCTGACTACTCAGACTTGGGAAAAAAATTTGGGGCTAAAATCAGAGTGGGTTTTTTTGAAACGTCAGCCCTGGGAGGACCTAACCTAGCGCATGAGTAAAGTGTTGAATAGAAACAAGGGATACAAGGGGAATTTAAGGTGGGGTGTTGTACTCACTAAGAGCACATACCATTCGAGCCTATAACTTCTACATATACAATATATGTATAAAGTGACAGTAGAGTGGGTAAGAATAAGAAGATTTGATGCATGCAACATGATTTGTTCATAGGCGATAATATACCGCTGGTTACACGGATGTTTGCGAAGCTCGGCAAACCCAATCGGTTGCAGGCAAAGGGCTTTCCCTGGCAACGGGCGAAAACTGATTGCCGTCCCTTCCACGCCATCCCCGCGCTCTTCATCCATCTCCGCCAGGGAAGACGACCGTTCCCCCCTCCGCTCTCATTTGGCGGAGCTCTCCCCCCCTCTTCCCCCTTCCCTCCCCACGTGAGGCTGTGTGTCTGTCGGTCTGGGAGTCGGACCCTCGATTCCCCTTGGAGCGGCCACCACCAGTACAGTATATATTCCGCAGCTTGCTTTGAAATCTTCATTTTCCAGTTTCCTTGTTCCACTTCTCAGTGAGCGGATGGATATGCGGCCGATCGTGCTGCTGTCCCGAGCCTAGGTGTGGACGGACTCTGGTGAATAAAGCCCAAGGAGGACTCGTTAAAAGTCGAAAAAGACGGCTTTGACCGTCTCCAATTGTTAGGCCTCGCGTCAATCTCGACATCTGGAAACCCTAATTAGTGTAGACAGGGAGTCGGTAAGAGAGGTGGAAACCAGACGCCGCCAGAGCGGACGCCGCTCGCGCAGGGCCCGCGATGGATCAGCGGTTCGGGTTTTCGCCGGCGGAAGTGGCGAAAGTGAAGACGGTTCAGTTCGGCGTCCTCAGCCCGGATGAAATCGTACGTCGCTCGGGACCTGAATTACTTTCAGACGAGTGCTTTGGTTCGTTCAGCGTGCTCGGCCCGGATGAAATCGTACGTGAAAGTTCGGTCTGTTCGCCCAACACCTGAATTAGTTCGCACTGCCTTCGTCAGTTCGTGCGGCTCCTAACAGTTAGTACGGTTCTAGTCTACCTTGCACCAGTCATACAACCGAGTCCGACAAGCATTTTCTCAGCTCGGCTTTTGCGGGACAGTTGTTGAATGTTTAGTAACCTTGAGACGGTTGGTTTCGTCAGTGGCCTCGCGAATGTGTTTCCCATCTGTCAGCAACCTTCGTGCTATGGCGTGAACTTGGATTAGGCTACGGCGAGAACTTATGTTAGACTATTGCGTCAGTTATGTAAGGCTACAGCGGATTTTAGGTTATGGCGAGAACCCGGCGAGAACTTATGTTAGACTATTGCGTCAGTTATGTAAGGCTACAGCGGATTTTAGGTTATGACAACGTGTATTTTCGTTGTCTGGCTTCTGCGTTGCTGCAGCTGCTACAATCTCTCATCTTTCTCGTGTTCCACTCCCTCCCCGATCTTCCCTGCGACTCCCCTCCCTCCCTGCGACACCCACAGCGTCGCATGTCCGTCGTGCAGATCGACACGAGCGACCTGTACGACCGCGGGAAGCCACGCGAGGGCGGGCTGAGCGACCCGCGCCTGGGCACCATCGACCGCAGCGTGAAGTGCCTGACGTGCCAGGGCGGCATGGCGGAGTGCCCGGGGCACTTCGGCCACCTGGAGCTCGTGCGCCCCATGTTCCACATCGGGTTCATCAAGACCGTCCTCACTCTCCTCCGCTCCGTCTGCCACAACTGCTCGCGGATTCTCGCAGACCCGGTAAGACTTTTGAGCCTTCCCAGGGTCGGTTTGAAAGATGGTTCTTGCCCAGCTGCGCTCCGTCTGCCATCACTGCTCGCGCATCCTCGCGGACCCGGTAAGGCAGCCAGCCGAATGGTGCCTGTTTCGGACGTATGATGGATCGGTGCGGCTGGGGATTTCTGTTTCCCTTCCATTCGTGCTGCATGAATGAGCTCAGGGGCCGGTGGCACTCAGCCATGGCAGCACTGCAGGCCCTGCCTACTCCTTCCTCCACTCCACCTATTATCCCAACCTTCTCCCCCTCTCCCCCCCCCTTCCCCTCCTCTCCTCCCCCCTCGCTCCACCCCCTCCGCCTCCCCCCCTTCTTTCCACCAGAACGACTATCGTTACACGATGGCCTTCCGCGTGCGCAACTTCAAGCAGCGCCTGCGCCGCGTGGACGAGTGCTGCCGCACACGCTCACCGACTCACCCCTATCCGCTCTCCCCCGCCTCCCCCCCACCCGTCCCAACATCAGAACGACTACCGCTACAAGATGGCTCTGCGCGTGCGCAACCCCAAGCAGCGCCTGCGCCGCATGTACGAGTGCTGCCGCACACGCTCCGTCTGCGCCGCCGACACACCCCCAGAGGGCACGGAGGACGGCGCCGACCCTACCAACCCGGACGGGGAGGACTTTGACGACCCTGAGCGGAAGGTTCGGCGTGGCGGGTGCGGGGCTACCCAGCCTAAATACACCATCGATGGGATGAAGATTATGGCGGAATTCAAAGCGCCGAAGAGGGGGCGGAACGACATGGAGGAGGAGGAGCAGATCGAACCCACGGAGCGGAAGCAGCAGATGTGGCCCGACCGGGTGCTCAGCATTCTTAAGAGGATTTCGGACGAGGACTGCGAGCTCCTGGGGCTGAACCCCAAGTATGGCCGCCCAGACTCGTTCATCCTGCAGGTGCTGCCAGTGCCGCCGCCGCCCGTGCGGCCGTCCGTCATGATGAGCAGCTCGGCGCGTAGTGAGGACGACCTGACGTACCAGCTGGTCATGATCATCCGGCAGAACGAGTACGTGAAGAAACAAGAAGCCAATGGCATGGCGGCCCATGTGATCAACGACCAGCTGCAGATCCTCCAGTTCTACATCGCCACCTACTTTGATAATGATTTGCCCGGCCAGCCCAGGGCCACGCAGCGGTCGGGGCGGCCGATCAAGTCGATCTGCGCGCGGCTGAAGGCGAAGGAGGGGCGGATCAGGGGGAACCTGATGGGGAAGCGGGTGGACTTCTCGGCGCGCACTGTGATCACGCCGGACCCCAATATCAACATTGACGAGCTGGGCGTGCCCTGGAGCATTGCGCTCAACCTGACCTACCCGGAGACCGTCACACCCTACAACATTGACAAGTGAGCTTGTGTGTGCGTGCGTGCGTGTGTTTGCATGTGTATAAAATTATAAATGCGAGATGAGTGTGTGTGTGTGTGTGTGTGTGTGTGTGTGTGTGTGTGTGTGTGTGTGTGGGTGTTTCGTCATTCTCTGCCCGCGTCCCTTCACTCATCCCTGCATGTAACATGTAAGCGGCCCCTGGCTGTGAGAGTTGTTGGAGACCGGCCCTTTCTGCTCTTTGGGCAAGACAGGTTGCGCTTGTTTGCACCCCCCCCTCTTTCTCCTGCTATTTCCTCCTCCCTTCTCTCTTCCTTCTCTCTTCTTTCTCCCCTTTTTGGGTGCGAGAGCTGGTGGAGAACGGCCCTCAGCCCGTCCGAGCAAGACAGGTGCTCAGTACATCATCAGAGAGGGCTGGCAGAGGCTGGACTGGACCTACGTTTATCCCTGCCCCTTTTCCTCATGCAATTTCCTCCCATCCCCTCTCGCTTTTTTCTCTCGTTGCAGGCTGAGGGAACTGGTGGAGAACGGCCCCCACCCCCCGCCGGGCAAGACGGGCGCCAAGTACATCATCAGAGAGGACGGGCAGCGCCTGGACCTGCGGTACCTTAAGAAAACCAGCGATCGGCATCTAGAGCTGGGGTACAAGGTACGAATGAAGGGCTTGAATGGGTGAGTCGTTAGGGAGACAGGCACCGAGTACACCACCTGAAAGGACGGCCCGAGTCTGGGCCTGCGCTGTTGTCACACAACACCGAGTCTGGGCCTGCGCTGTTGTCACACAACACCGAGTCTGGGCCTGCGCTGTTGTCTCACAACACCGAGTCTGGGCCTGCGCTGTTGTCTCACAACACCGAGTCTGGGCCTGCGCTGTTGTCTCACAACACCGAGTCTGGGCCTGCGCTGTTGTCTCACAACACCGAGTCTGGGCCTGCGCTGAGGAAGACCCGCGACCGGCATCTGGAGCTGGGGTACAACAAGGTGTGATGCTGCATGTAACGAACGATTGAATGATAGGTTCTTATTGAACGGCTCAATGGTGAGTAGTTTGTGACGCATGTCACAATGGCAGCATTCTCGTCCCCCTCTCTCTTCCCCCCCCCCCCCCCCCCCGCCCCCCGCCCCCCCGCCCCTCTCCTTCTCCCCGTTCTCCCTCCCTACTCCTGACAGGTGGAGCGGCACCTGGTGGAAGGAGACTACGTGCTGTTCAACCGGCAGCCGTCCCTGCACAAGATGTCGATCATGGGGCACCGCATCCGCATCTTCCCCTGGTCCACCTTCCGCCTCAACCTCTCCGTCACCTCGCCCTACAACGCTGATTTCGACGGCGACGAGATGAACATGCACGTCTGCCAGAGCTTCGCCACCAGGGCTGAGACGTCCGAGCTCATGCTCGTGCCCAAGTGCGTGGTGTCGCCGCAGAGTAACCGGCCGGTGATGGGTATCGTGCAGGACACGCTGCTGGGGTGCCGCAAGATCACCAAGAGAGACACGTTCATTGAAAAGGTGGGTGCGATTGAGTTAGTGAGAAGAAGTTGGTTGCCAAAATGTGTGGTGTTGCCGCATAGCAACCGGCCCGTGACGTGATGGGTATCTCGCAAGATACCCTGCTGGGATGCAAGAAGATCGCAAACGAGATAGCTTTTTTGAGAAAGGTGGGTGCGATTAAGAAAGATGAAGGATGAGAAGGTGAGATTGGAGCTGTTGTGACAGCTCCCCCTCCCCTCCCACCCTGCTTCCGTTCCTCCCTCCCCCCCCCCCCATTCACCAGGGCGTGTTTATGAACATCCTCATGTGGTCGGTGGGAGGCCTTTGACAGCGAGCTCGATGATGCTGTGTGATGCTGTATGGGGCTTACTCTCATCTCTACCTGTCCTCTGTCCCATCCATCCAACCCCCCAGGACGTGTTTATGAACATCCTGATGTGGTGGGAGGACTTTGACGGCAAGCTGCCGATGCCGACCATCCTGAAGCCGCGCCCCATCTGGACGGGCAAGCAGGTCTTCTCGCTCTTCATCCCCCGCGCCATCAACCTCATCCGCTTCTCCGCCTGGCACCCTGACGGCGAGACGGGCGACATGTCCCCGGGGGACACGGTGGTGCGGGTGGAGCAGGGGGAGGTGCTATGTGGGATCCTCTGCAAGAAGAGCATGGGGAGCGCGGCTGGTGGGCTGGTGCACACCATCTGGTGGGTGGCGCTGTGTGCCGTGCTATTGCATGCAGTGTGACTGTATGTGGGATGATTCTAGGCTGTGTGATTGTGCTGTAGGCATGTGCCGCGGGTGAGGTGCTGTCGGGCATCCTCTGCAAGAAGAGCATGCGGAGTGCGGCTGATGGCTTGGTGCACGCCATTTGCTGGGTGTGACGTGATTGCATGCAGTGTGACTGTATGTGCCAAGGCTGTGTGGTTGTGCTGTAGGTATGTCCCCAGGGGGAACACTGCGGTCAGGGTGGAGCAGGGGGAGGTGCTATCTGGGGTCCTCTGCAAGAAGCGCTTGGGTGTGCAGCTGCTGTGCAAAGCAGCTGCCCAGTGCTGGCTCCTGCAGCAGTGCCTCAGCATCGGCATCGACAATTTCACACCTCCCCCCATCTCACACTCCTTCCCCCCCACCCCCCCCCACCCCCGCTTCCCCCCTGTCGTCCCCCCACGCTACAGGGAAGAAGTGGGGCCAGACGCGGCGCGCAAGTTCCTGGGGCACACGCAGTGGCTGGTGAACTACTGGCTGCTGCAGCAGGGCTTCAGCATCGGCATCGGCGACACCATTGCCGACGCGTCCACCATGGAGACGATCAACGAGACCATCGCCAAGGCCAAGGACGAGGTCAAGGAGCTGATCCGCAAGTGGCAGGACCGCGAGCTCGAGCAGCAGCCGGGGCGCACGCTCCGAGAATCGTTCGAGAACAGGGTGAACCAGGTATGGAAGAGGGGAGAATGAGGCATGAGGTAGGTGGCTGGGAGGTGGTTGAGGGCTGATGACGACGTCAAGGAGCTCATCTGCAGTGGCAGGACCGCGAGCTCGAGCAGCAGCCAGTTGGAACGGACACTGAGGGGTTCGTTCGAAAGCAGATTGAACCAGGCATGGTCAGTGATGGAAGGGGGGGGAGGGGGTGAGGTGGTGGTTGGCAGTACTGGCTGGTGGCAGCGTTGGTGGTTTGTGTGGGTCAGCCATGTTCGCACACTTGGCAGAAATCACCACTGTCTTGGCAAACGCACAGTGCAGTGCAGAAGAAGCTTGGCAAATGGTGTCTTGGCTACTGTGGCCATTGCCAAATGGTGCGCTTGCTTGGCCCGCACACCCTTCAGTTCTTCCGCCCCACACACAGTGTGCCAAGGCTCTTTGCCTCCACGCACTGGCCATACCCCAATGGTGCTTCTTCACCCGCCCCTATTTCCCCACCATCCCTTTCCCTCCCCCCCGTCCCTCCCCTCCCCCCTCCCCAGGTCCTCAACAAGGCGCGTGATGACGCAGGGCGGGCGGTGCAGAGCAGTCTGTCGGAGATGAACAACGTGACGGGGATGGAGGCGGCGGGCAGCAAGGGGTGGTTCATCAACATGTGTTGTGCTTTCCCCCTTGCTCTTGGCGCCCCTCCCACCAGGTGCTGAACAAGGCTCGAGATGACGCAGGGAGAGCAGCGCAGAGCAGCCTGTCGGAGATGAACAACGTGAAGGCGATGGTGACGGCGGGCAGCAAGGGCTCCTTCATCAACATCTCGCAGATGATTGCCTGTGTGGGGCAGCAGAACGTGGAGGGCAAGCGCATCCCCTACGGCTTTGTCGACCGCACTCTACCGCACTTCACCAAGGACGACTACGGCCCCGAGTCCCGCGGCTTTGTGGAAAACTCCTACCTCCGGGGGCTCACCCCGCAGGAGTTCTTCTTCCACGCTATGGGTGGGCGCGAGGGGCTGATAGACACTGCTGTCAAGACGTCCGAGACGGGGTACATTCAGCGGCGGTTAGTGAAGGCCATGGAGGATCTTATGGTGAAGTATGATGGCACTGTGCGGAACTCCCAAGGGGATGTTATCCAGTTTCTCTATGGCGAGGATGGGATGGACGCCGTGTGGATCGAGAGCCAGAAGCTAGACTCCATGAAGATGGACAAGAAGAAGCTTCTGAGAACCTACGCGTACGAGGTGGACGAGCAGGGGGACGCGTGGGACCCCACGGACTACATGCCAGCCGCAGCAGCGGAGGAGATCCGCTCCATCGAGGCTTTAAGATTTGTGCTGCGCGCCGAAATGCTCCAGCTGGAGCGGGACCGTCGGGTGCTGGGGCGTGACATCGCCCCGTCAGGGGATGCCACGTGGCCCATGCCGGTGAATTTAAAGCGGCTGGTGTGGAACGCGCAGAAGATGTTCCGCATCGACACGCAGAAGCCGTCGGATCTGTCGCCGCTGGACGTGATCGACGCTGTGGACAAGCTGCAGCAGCGGCTGATGGTGGTGGTGGGAGACGACCCGCTCTCCCGTGAGGCGCAGGAGAACGCCACGCTGTTCTTCAAGATCCTCCTGCGCTCCACCCTCGCCAGCAAAAGGGTGCTCCAGGAGTTCCGCCTCAGCAGGGAGGCGTTTGACTGGGTGGTGGGCGAGGTGGAGTACCGCTTTCTGCAGTCCCAGGCCGTGGCTGGCGAGATGATCGGGTGCGTGGCGGCGCAGAGCATTGGGGAGCCGGCGACGCAGATGACGCTCAACACGTTCCATTTCGCGGGTGTGAGTGCGAAGAACGTGACGCTGGGCGTGCCGCGGCTGCGGGAGATCATCAACGTGGCCAAGAAGAACAAGACGCCCGCGCTCACCGTGTACCTGGGGCCGCACGTCGACCAGAATGACAGGGATGGCGCCAAGGAAGCTGCCAAGAACGTGCAGGTGGGGTGGGTTGGGTTGGGTTGGGGTGGGATGGGGTGGGTTGGGGTGGGTTGGGGTGGGTTGGGGTGGGCTGGGGTGGGTTGGGGTGGGCACTTTAGTCGATTGAGAAGGACATGGAAACGGTGCGTGCAGCCCTACGTTGAGATGCCCAAGGAGGGGCTTGGCCTTGGCTACATCGGCCTCGAACACCCTGTCCTTCCCCTCTCTGCACCCCTCTCCTCGCCCCTCGTATCAGGTGGAACTCGAGTACACCACCCTCAGGAGTGTGACGGAAGCCACGGAGATCTGGTACGACCCCGACCCCATGAGCACCGTGATAGAGGAGGACATGGAGACGGTGCAGTCCTACTTTGAGATGCCCGACGAGGGGCTGGACCTCGACAAGATGTCGCCGTGGCTGCTGCGCATCGAGCTCAACCGCGAGATGATGGTCGACAAGAAGCTCACCATGGAGGCCATCGGGGAGAAGATCTCCTCCGAGTTTGATAAGGATCTCACGTGCATCTTCTCGGATGACAACGCGCCGAAGCTCATTCTGCGCATCAGGATTTTGAACGAGGAGGCGGCGAAGGGGGGCGTGGGGAGCGGGGCGGAGGGGGAGGAGCTGAGCGCGGACGACGATGTGTTTCTGAAGCAGGTGGAGGGGAACATCTTAACGGAGATGTCTCTAAGGGGGATAGAGGCCATCAAGAAGGTGTTCATCCGCGAGGTGAAGCAGCAGCGGTACGACGAGGAGCGGGGCTTCGCGACGCACTCGGAGTGGATCCTCGACACGGAAGGCGTGAACATGCTGGAGGTGATGGCGCATGAGGCGGTGGACGCCACTCGCATCCGCAGCAACTACCTCATGGAGGTGTTCGAGGTACTGGGGATCGAGGCCGTGCGGAACACGCTGCTGAAGGAGCTGCGGGATGTGATCTCCTTCGACGGGTCGTACGTGAATTACCGGCACCTGGCCATTCTGTGTGATGTGATGAGCTACCGCGGGCATCTGATGTCGATCACACGGCATGGAATCAACCGCAACGACACGGGCCCCATGATGCGCTGCTCCTTTGAGGAGACCGTCGATATTCTCCTGGACGCCGCCATGTATTCCGAGGCCGACCGCCTCAAGGGCGTGTCGGAAAATATCATGCTCGGGCAGCTCTGCCCGCTGGGAACGGGCAGCTTTGACCTTTACATGAACGAGGCCATGCTGAAGCATGCGATAGAGCTGCAGCTAGATGCCGCGGCCGGGATGGGCGGCATGGGGGCGACGTCGTTCGGCATGACTCCGGCCCGCTCCCCCGGACCTAACGCCACGCCCTACCACGAGATGGCAATGTCTCCGAGCTACCTGCTGAGCCCGAACTTCCGAGCGTCGCCCGGAGCTTCGGATGCGCAGTTCTCGCCGTACGTGGGAGGCTTAGCGTTCTCCCCTGGGCGATCGCCCAACTACAGTCCCACCTCCCCCAGCTACAGCCCGCAGTCTCCCGGCTACAGCCCCACCTCCCCTGCCTATTCCCCGGCCAGCCCTTCCTATACCCCTGATTCCCTCACCTATTCGCCTACCAGCCCTAACTACAGTCCCACCTCCCCCAGTTACTCCCCCACCTCCCCCAGCTACAGCCCCACTTCCCCTGCCTATTCCCCCACCTCCCCCAGCTACAGCCCTACCAGCCCGAGCTACAGCCCAGCCTCCCCTGCCTACTCCCCCTCGAATTACAGTCCCACCTCCCCCAGCTACAGCCCCACCAGCCCAAGCTACTCGCCCACCAGCCCAGGCTACAGCCCCACCTCCCCCAGCTACTCCCCCACGTCCCCCAGCTACAGCCCCACCTCTCCAAGCTACAGCCCTGCTTCTCCCAACTACTCCCCCTCGTCTGGCTACTCCCCCACCAGCCCCAGCTACAGTCCCACCTCTCCCAGTTACAGCCCCACCTCCCCGGGCTACAGCCCTACCTCCCCCAGCTACAGCCCGACCAGTCCTGCGTATTCGCCCTCTTCCCCGCGCTACAGCCCCTCCTACAGCCCCACGTCGCCCGGCTACTCCCCCACCAGCCCCAGCTACAGGTGAGGATTCTCGCTCCTTTTATTCAAAACCTTGCCTCTATTTCGTGCAGGTGTTTGTGTTTTTATCGCTAAACTGCACTTTTTTTCACTTTGCTGCTCGCTTGCCCGCCTGCCTGCCTTTTTTTTTGTTTTTTTTTTTGAATCCTGCCTGCCTGGATTTGAGCCCCTTGTGCTTGCCTGCTTCATCGCTTCCTTGCTTAGTTAGGGCTGTACTGCTTTTCTAGTTTGCTGTGTCAGCCCCTGTGACCTCCCTCTTCGGAGCACTCTTCGTGTTTTTTACCATTTAGAATGCCCCACGAAGACTCTTGCCTTCCCCTGCTGCGGCTATCTAAAATTCTCCTGTTGCTTCTTTCTTTCCACGATTCCTCTTCGTTCTGACCTTCTCACAAATCCCTTGTGCCTTTCCCTCTTCCCCTCCCCTCCCCTCCCCTCCCCTCCTGTTTTGCAGTCCAACCTCCCCCTCCTATTCCCCCACCTCCCCATCCTACTCGCCCTCAGCCCCTTCCTACTCCCCCGCAGCCCCCACCTACTCTCCCTCCCCCGCATACTCCCCAACCTCCCCCTCCTACTCGCCCACTTCCCCCTCCTATTCTCCCACCTCCCCTTCCTACTCGCCCACCTCTCCCTCCTACTCTCCTGCGACCGCCACTCCCTCTGCTGCCACCCCGGCCTCCGGAGCTCCTTCCGCGGCTCCTAACTACTCTCCCACCAGGTAAGGGTGTTGTCCCACCTCCCTCCCTTACTCGCCCATTTACCCCTCCTGCTCTCCTGCGACTGCCGCTCCCTCTGCTGCCACGCCGGCCTCTGGGGCTGCTTCCACGGCTCCCAACTACTCTCCCACGAGGTAAGTCAGATGGAATCGCTCTTAAAAGTGAGACGGAATCGCTGTTAAAAGCGGGGTGGAATTGCTTCAAAAGAGATGGAAGCACCTATAATGGTGAAAGCCATCCTTTACTACTAAGGCAGCAAGCCTTCTCGGCTCCCAGTACTCGCGAACAAGGTTAGAGTGGTGGGATAAGAACTCCCCATTCCTCCCTGAAGTGCGGATCCTGCTACTCTCTTGACAACGCACGGGTGGTGGAATGTAACTTTGTCTTCGATCGTATTCTGAAGTTGGGCCGACGAGCAAAGTTTTCCCATGCGGCTCGAAATGTCTTGAAATGTCTAAAATTGGGAATGCAATGTTGGGCTATGCGCTTCGGCTTTTGTCGAAACCAAAAGTTTCGCCCATGTGCCCTGCGACGTGGGCGCACGACCAACGCGATCAACACGTCCGGCGCAAATTGGTACTGTGGATGAATGCACCTCGTCTGGACGTGAGCCACGTTTGCAAAACAGACGGCCCAGTGGCACGGTTACCGCATCAGCTGCCCGTAACAACACACAAACAAACGAGGCACGAAACGAATAACGGGCAGAACTTCCTGGACCAGATATTGCCTCTCAAGCCATAAAAACCTAACAGCAACATCGCAACGCGATGGGTACAGTTTAGCAGTGCAGGTTTTGGGCCTGCTGGCGGGTTTTTTTGTACCAATGTTGTTGCAAAGTCGACCGTCAGGTTGCAGAGGCGCAGCCGGTACATTTCTCTGTTCGCCTATGGGTCGCAGCCCGTTGTGCGTGCTTCCCAGTTGGCCGCGAAATTTTGGAGGTCGCATTTTCGCGGCTTGTTTTCGGTGGCCTTTTCGCGAACGTTTCGCAGCAAGGTTGGGTATCCACCACGGTTTCCCGAGTCGCATGGGAAAACTTGGTGCCGATGGGAAAACTTGGTCGTCGGCCCAACTTCAGAATTCGATCTGATTGTTGGTGGAAGCACCACTTACCAAGATACCGACTCCAGGCTACTTCTATAGAGGCCCTTGTGCTAAGAATGGAATGGGCGTGCCACTTGGTTTCACACTTCTGTGTGGCTGGCACTCCCACCACTCCCACCACTCCCACCGCTCCCTTACCTATGTCTCGCCTTTCTCTCCCCCTTCTTTCACTCCCTTTTTTCCCCTCCAGTCCGGCCTACACACCTAGTGGCTCCACCTACAGCCCCACCTCCCCTCAGTTCACGTGAGTCCCGTCTGGCTTTCTTCTTGCCTTTCTTGCCTGAGTTTGCAAAAGCATCATAGTTGCTGGTCCCAGGCCTAGGACCTCCCTGTCATCCTCTCCTCACTGTCCTGCCTTACCCCCACTCTCCCTCCCTCTTCCCCCCCCTCCTCCCCCACTCCCCCCCCAGTCTCACCAGCAGCATTCCGTAAAGCGCCCCACAGCCATCACCAGTTTTTGCATGTTTTTCCAGTTTAGTTGTTTCCACATATTTTTGTGGTTCTCTCGCTCTCTTTCTCTCACTCCTTGCCTTCCCTGCATTTCCCCCACTCTCCTCTCTCAGTCCCACCAGTGCCACGCCCTCCAGTGCCCCCCAGACATCGCCAGGGGCAGCCAGCAACGCCACCACCCCCAAGGACGAGAGCTAGAGCACGATGCAGGGGGGGGTCTGTTTGTTTTCGAGAATCGGTTGAAAGGAGGGAGCTGCCAAGTGCTGTGCAACCCTTCCTAGGAGGGGAGCTGGAGCGGAGTGCGGGAAGTCTGCCTTCGAGAGCATTTTGGAGAGCGATCTGCTGAAATGGCAGTGAGCTCAATGCCAGTTCCAAGGCAAGAGGAGGGGAGATGTGGGGAGGTCTGCTTGAGGAAATGCCGAGGAGAGGGAAGGGCTTGAGGTGCGGCTGGAGAGAGAGAAATGCGTGCGAAGGGCTTGAGGTGTGGCTGGACCGGAGTGGTTGGTTTTAGCAATTATGGAGGCACATTAAAAGCGTGTCAATTGCTGGCTCTGGTTTCATGATAAAACAAGCAAGCATCGTGCACCTACCGTGATCCACGGTATATAACACCCGTCGGAATAGTCACTCCATGGGTGGTTAATACGGGGGGGAGCTTATGATATGGTGCATTTTTTAGAGTGCCCGCATTTCAGGTGACGAATTATACAAACGGTAGAGTCCACATCGCTGCTCTCTGTACTGTAGTGTCAGCCGCTTCAGCTGCAGTTGCAGCTGCTGCTGGAGTTGTCGATGCTGATGCTGCAGCTGCTGCAGCGTTAAGTCGGGCCTCTGCCATTGCAAAGGATTTTGCCATGTCAACCGCGCCAAGTCTCATTGGTGCATGCTGCGGCAGGTCGACGTCGACTCGACAGCGACGTCACACTCATCCTCTCAGAGCTCGTCGGCGGTCCGCTCTACGAACTCGGCTTCGAAGAGGGGGTTCGTCTTCTCGCCGGTCGTCTCTGTTGAGACCAGTGTCTATTTTTCACGAGTAAATTACTCTGATTCTCTGAAAATCAGAGTTGATTTTGCATACCACCCTTTCGCCTCTGGGTAAATTTTTGAAATTATAAGTTTTCTCTTACCGTAATCCCCCGGATATAACACCCTATGGTGGATATGGAAATTCACTAAAAAAATTAGTGGGTGTTAACAGTGGCCCGGAAAAATATAACGCCCATGTGTTATGTAAAATGCAAAATGAATTCGAGTGTTCCATGCCCTATTTGCCTATAAGGGTGCGGAGCAGCTGCTAACGAGGAAAAACAATTTGATTTTCCTATCTCCCCCACAATATTGTAACCCCCTGGCCCAACGGTTTCAGTCCCCCCCGAGTATTTCGTTTCCCCCTTTACCGACAATTTCGATTCCCCCTTCACCGACAATTTCGAATCCCCCTTCCCCTGAAAGTTTCGAATCCCCCTTCCCCCCACATTTTCGATTCCCCCTTCCCCCCACGTTTTCGATTCCCCCTTCCCCCACAATTCGATTCCTCCTTCCCCTCAATTCGATTCCCAACAATTCAATTCTGCCCGGTTTTTCCGGTGCTAATGGTTGTTGACGCACGATTTCATCATGCTCGCTTTTTGCAGTTGAGCGGACCTTGTAATACAAGAACAACTTCAGTTTTCAAACCAATAAAACGAGGAGGGTGTTATGTAAAATTCAATGCCAGAAAAACGGGTGCTCTAAAAAATGCACCGTATCATAAGCTCCCCCCCGTATTAAGCACCCACGGAGTGACTATTTCGGCGGGTGTTATATCCGGGGGATTACGGTATTTAGCAAAGTTGACCTATGTACTACCTTGTGGGATTTTCAATAGATGGTATACCCCCAGATTATTGCTGTATTGTACTCCTTGACGACAGATGTTAGGGATATCGGACAAAATCCGCCGGACACTGACAAAAATGCATACTAGTCCCCTGGCCGAACCCAGGAATTTCGGCTAAGTCCCCACAACCAGAGACATTCCTACCGAGCACCCCCTGCAACCTATTCGGCGAAGTCCCTCACAGCCATAAACATTTCTCTCAAGCACCCTACCGTATCCTAAAAATTCAGCTAAGTCCCCCACAGCAAGAGACATTCCTTCCTGCAGCTATGTTCCCCCAAGAACCTCATGCAACCCAAAAGTTTTGCGCACTCCTCCACAGCCCGGCACACTACAATCGGCGTGCTTTGCTGAACCTCAGGTGATGGCGAGACACATCACCTCAGGTGCCTTGATGTGTGTGCGAGCGTGAGGAGAACCACATGTGATGCGAGTGAAACCTGAATTTCGTCGCGGAAGAAAATCAGAAGGGTCTAGCGAGGACCCTCGGTCCCTGACTCGGATTCCTGCCCGGTATCACGCGCACCGCCTGCCTGGGAATGTACACATCATTTGCCGCCTGCGCCCTCTGGATGCGTCCCTAGACCTGGCCCTCATTGCCTCGCCAAAGGGCGTGGTGCTTAGTTCCGGTTCTCGGCTAAAACCCGAACTTGGGCTGGATACATAGTTCGCAACACATTTCGATAGGGCTTCGTGAATATCCTTCAGGGCAAAAGCTTCGCGAATTTTGGTACTAGTTCCGGATTTTCAAGAACCGGAAATGCAAGCACCACACCCTTAGAGAGTAATACAAGTGCCTTTGGTTTGGTCGTCCGGGGCCGATGTAAGACACTTCCACGAGTGATGTGACAGTGGTGGCTGCTTGTACAAAAGTGGGCATGACCTGTGCACTTTTGTTAATCAAAAGTGGCTCTTGGAATGATCCCTTATGATGAGAGTTATTATTTTGGAAACAGAGAAAAATCATGAAAAACCAGAGTTAGTGCTCCAAGTAACCCTGAAAATCAGAGTGGCACAGATTTAACTCGTGAAAATCAGAGTAGTGAAAAACCAAAGATCAGCACTGGTTGAGACTAGAAAGAATGAATAGAAGAAGGGAGAACAGGGGAGATATAGCGTTTGGGTTGTACCCACTAAGAACATACCCTATCTAGCCTATAACTTCTACATAACAAGATATGTATAAGTTGACACACCCCCTAGGCTAGATAAAGGGTAGTGCTCAGGGCCTATTTTATCATAGTAATATAATCTCTGTTTTTCTGAAAATCAGAGTTGTTTTTGAAAACTACTCTAGGGGCCCTGAGTAAAAAAATAAATTAGTTTTTTTACTCTGATTTTATCCGAGTAAACCTTTGTACCACTCTGATGGTCCGTGTATAGGGGGTACTGTATATATCTGATTATGTTCCTGTCCCCTACACCTAGCTGTGCCCATGTGTCCCGCAGAACGCGTCATGTCACACGCACCGGCGAATTCATTGTCTGGTCCGTGCTCGAGGTTGTGTGAGGGTGCTACGGTAAGTGCCCCTTCACCAAAATCACCTCGCCAATCGTGCTGGAAGGTGCGTGAGGGCGCTGATTGGCCCTTCGCCAAATCTAGCGGTCAAGAGAGATGCACTGTTGGCCGTGTGAGGTCGTCTTGGTTGGGCCCTTCACCGTATTTGGGGCCAACGTGTGCTTGCAGGGGGAGTGCAAGATTTCCCGTCCCCGCCCCTACTGTGTCGACCTCTCCTGCCAGCTCGATTCCCCCTGCCCCTTCAATCTCGATTCCCCCTGCCCATACAATCTCTCGATACTTCCCCTTTGTTCCACCCCCCATCTCCCGATCTTGCCCCGCACGCCTAGAGAACCCTGCTGCAGAGAGTTACTTCAAAAACCCCTCTGCATTGTCAGTGTAAAATTTTGAGAAATATAGAAAACCCTGGAAAATCAGAGAAACCATTGGGGAGCACTCTGATTTTCAGAGTGATGAAAAAAGCCACTCCCTAATTTCACAGTAATAAAAATCCAAAAGTAGGCCCTGGTATTGCTGAGCAAAAAACACGCAGCTCAGGGTGGCACTACTAGTCCAACCTCTCAGGCAGGGGCCCGCAGACCAGTCAGCAAGAGTACAAGCAAGACAAAGCAAACCAGGGCAGCACTACTAGTTCAACCACTGGAGGAAAAGCCACAAGGCCAGTCTGCAAAGCATGAATACAAAGGAGTACACAATCAAGGGCCTAGCAAGTGAGAGTCAACAAGGACTAGACCTAACTGCAAGCAGTGCCGCTGATGATCTCTAGGCGCAAGCGCCTTAGTAAAGATATCAACTGTCTTGGCACCGGAGGCCAAGTATACTACGCGGGCCTGGCGACGCTGCTGAAGCTCGCGCAGGAGGAAGTACCGCAGCTGGATGTGCTTCGCTCTGCCCTCAAGTCGAGGCTCCTGACACAGGAGGATCATGGCCCTGTTGTCAGCGTACAGAACTGGGGCAGAGCTAGGCCGCTCACCTAAGTCGGCAAGCAAGAAGGTCAGCCAGCGGAGCTCCTGTGTCGCCATGGCACCGGCGTAGATCTCAGCCTCGCAACTAGACTGAGCAACAGACAAGGAGCGAGTGGACCTCCACGAGATGGCACCAGAACCAAGGCAAAAGCAGTAGCCCTGGGAGGACCGGAAGGTCTCAGCGTCGTCTGCCCAAGAAGCGTCTATGTGCCCAGTAAGGACCACTCGCCTGCGTCCTCCCAGCACTAGCCCGATGCCCAATGTACTTGCAAGATAACGCGAAACCCTCTTAGCGGCCGACCAGTGCTATGGTCGGTGTCTGCCTGTGGCCACAAAGTGGACCAGGATGCTGAGAGGGTATGCGAGATCTGGGCGAGTGCAAGTCATCAGGTACATGAGGCAACCCACCAGCTCTGCGTAAGGACCACTGGGCTCTACTGACTCCTCGGGAACTGGAGCTGAGAGCCTGTGGTCTAGAGGCAGAGGTGTGGGCTGTGCGGAGGAGAACTGAAGACCAAACCTCTGAAGGACCCTGCGCACCAAGTGTGAGTATGTAAGAGTGATGGTGCGCGCTGCTCTGTCCCTGGAGATCTGCAGGCCAAGGTAGCGGCGCAGCTCTCCCAGGTCAGTGCAGGTGTGTCGCCTCAGCAGCCTTCACGGAGGCCAACGCGTCTCTGTCTGCTGTGGCAAAGACCAGGTCATCTACGTAGACCAGGATGTAGAACGGAGTCTGGCCAGCACGAACGAAGAGCGAAGGGTCAGCTGAGGACGGAAAGAACTGCAGCTCAGCTAGCGTGGCACGTAGTGTGTCGTGCCACTCACGGGGCGCCTGTCGCAAGCCATAGACGGGGTGCCAGAGGAGCCACTGGTCCCAGCCGGAAAGGTACCGGTGAAACCCTGAGGGCGGCGCATGTAGACCTGCTCGTGAAGGCTGCCCTGACGGAAAGCAGTGGAGAAGTCGAGGGAGTGAAGCTCGTAGTCACACTGTGCTGTTACGTGTAGCAGCGCCCGAAGAGTAGTCATCTTTGGGGTTGGGGCGAAGGTCTGAAAGAAGTCCACCCCCTCTCGCTGATTGAAACCTCTAGCCACGTAGCGCGCCTTGAACACATGCGGCTCTCCAGGGGGGCGCTTCACCTTGAAGAGCCAGCGGCCATCGATTACGTTCACCCCAGGTGTGGGAACTGCGTCGACGTAGGTGCCGGTAGCCCTCCAAGATGCCATCTCCTGCTCCATGGCAGCTATCCACTGAGAGGCCCAGGGTCCCGAGGTCGCCTCAGCGTAGGTGCGAGGGGTCGGGATGTCAAAGGCGTCGGGGTCACCCTCAAGGACTAGCAGCATGGAACAGAGATGGGGAGCATCCTCTGATAGGAAAGCAAGCTCGTACTGCCGGTCCTCCAAGACGTCACTGCCGAGGGCAGGAGCACCCCCGACGGACGGAGGACAGACATGGTCAGAGACCAGAGCGGTAGCAAAGTCAAGGCGGCAAATAGAGGCAAAGTCAGTGACAGCAGCTACAAGAGCGTCAAGACTGGAGACACAAACAGACGGATCGGTAACGAGGGAGGCAAGGACCCGAGGAACAAGAGGACGAGCAGCACGAAGGTAGTCAGACAGAGGGAGAGGCGCGACAGTGAGCGATGCCGGAGGAGGCGAAGGCAAATGGGGAGGACGAGACGCATGGGAACGAAGCAACATAGGGTGAGAACACTGAGCTGGAGAGACAGGACGAGCACGAGAGGGATGGCGAGACCAGACGTGAGACGGAAGCGTC